GAAAGTTCAACCATGAGGAGGGAGCAATTAGAATGCAATATCTTGAATCCACTCGTTGAACCACCCCCAAGATGCGCATGTGCCAAGTTTCGTGGAACCGTCCATACAGTTTGAGCATAGCGAGTATTCAGAATTTGCCATTTAAGCCTTACTCGAAACCAATCCTCTGGACATTTAACAAAATTTGATATGAGTTTATGGAAAACTTTATTTAGATTTTTTCACTTTAAATGCAATATATAATTGGATTACATTATGCAATAAAGAGCCACTATTTCTGTCCCATTTTGGAACAACACCCCCAAGATGCGCATGTGCCAAATTTCTTGGAAACGTCGATGAAGTTTGAGCATTTGAGCATGGTAAAAATTTCCATTCCACTTCTCAGGAGAAAACAACCTTAGTGCTAAAAATCTTAAAATCTGGCTATTTATACCACTTTCAAAATGCAGTTTTAAGGAAAAACTATCTAAATAGTATATTTGCAAGCGGTGCCGATAGGGGCTGTGACATGACAATGTAATTCGACTTTTTGAATCTCGAACGCGAGGAATCTTTCGTGTAACAGTCTCTCGCGGCACCGCTTGCAAATTATTCTTGTGTGCACCTTTCCCCATGAAAGATCACAAATAATTACTATCAATATAACTGCTTAGCTTTGATCAATATTAAAAACTGTCTCATTGCCAATGCCATATCTCTTAAAAATCACTGACGTAACAAGTGTATTAAGCAAAGTAATTAGATTTGGGCACCATCGTGGCAACGTAAGCATGGTGAGTAAGTAATCAATTAGAATGTAATTAAAGACGAGAAAGTCTTTGATTCTTCGCAAGAAGGTGTTTGCCACTTGATTGGTTTCACCCCTTGATATTGACGATCAAGGGTCGGGGCCTCCATTGTTTTGGCATTTGATCTGACTGAAAATTTAATTTCACCAGTTACGCCAAATTACATCAAGTGATTTTCGGGCTAATTACGTATTTAATTTTATTCTCTTTGGCGGACCTTAGTTCTATTCTTTTAGAGATCTTATTCCTCAACGTCGAATACTCTTCAGAAAGGACGACTATGTTGAAAAGAGTTGAAATGCGTGGCCTAAAACTTCAAAAAATAGAAACAAAAATTTCAATCCCCCAAAATTTCAGATTTTACGTCTGATCATCTTGTTAACATCACTAGGTAATTTCTTATATTTTTCATCTATAAGTGCACTGGCACCAGGGAAAATTCGTATTAGCAAGTTCGTAGAATTTGCCCTTCAAGCGTTACTCAGAACCAATCCTCCAGATATTCAGCAAAATTTGAAATGAGTTGAGGGAAAACCTTAAGCTTTATTTAGATTTTTTTCCAGTTTGGATGTAATCTATAATTCTTCAAAATTACAATTAGATACAGATAATTTTTCCGGAAAATTACATTTACGTTGACATTTACATTACATTACGTTTGACTGGAAGAAATAGAGGCGACCCTAAAAGAATGAGCCTTATTCCAGAAAAAAAGCTCTCAGTTAAAACTTATTTTGATAAGATCTCTTTCTAAATTGTTACGTTAAACCTTCAAACCTTTCTGCAAGATGAATAGGTGGAGCGACACAAATATTTCCCTATGTTGAAAAAATTCGGTGAACACGGTCTCTTTTAGCGGCTCTGGTGCTTGCACTAGAGCTGCTATTCCGGACGGTCCCAGCTGGGGAGTATCAACGGACCATGTTACATTGGAGAGACCGCGTGTTGGTTGATGGGAATCGGCGCCATTTTCTGCTGTTTAGGGGGGACTGATTTTATTTTAATTGATATCTTTTTCCTGTGAGCGAATGCTATGTTGTGTAGTGTATTTTTGGAATCATGGTGATACTGTCAATAATTCAAAACGGGTCTGTGCTTTAATCTCGCACTGGAAAAAATGTACTTTACGTTTAAAATTTGAAAATTCAAATCTATAAGTTTTCGCGCTTTTTTCGAAGAATGCCGTGGTTGGAGCTTCCTAGTCATACTACTCGACGTCAGCTGATAGCAAACAAAGGTTACCAAGGAAACCGTAAACGCGTAACAACTACCTACCGTCGCCAAAGCCGCTTTCCGACGCGAATGCGTTGGAGCTTCCTGCTTGTTTTATCTCCATGGAGAAGTAAATTGAAAAAACCAATAAATAAACATGCAGCCTTTCTGTTTTGATCCATTTGATGTCATTGTTAAATTTTCTCTCGTAGAAAAAAGTTCTCACTTTCTCTTCGTTTTAACTTTGTCTCGCAGAATCACCGAAAGAAAAATATATCCTCATGAATCGCGTGATGTGATGAGAGGCTGTTCCAAGAGTTATTACCTCCTACATAACACTTAAAGTGTCCAAGTGTCTATCCCATCCCATGACTCAGTAAAATTTTCCTTAAATAGAAACTTCTGCTTGCTTCGCATTCTTTTCCTCTCTTGAATCTTTTTAGTCTTTAGAGGTAATTCGTTTTCCACTTTTGCGGTTCAAGTTAAAAAGTCTGATTTAGTGAAAGTGAGAAAAAGAAGAAATTTGAAAGGCAATGTGCACGTTGATAGAGATCGAAGAGAAACTTGAAGATATTTGAGATATTGAGGAGCACGTGTGTTGTTCGTGCTTATGTTATCAATCAACCAATTGCCAACGCTGAGCGTCTTTGGCTGAGCGTCGCGTCGTCGCGTCGTGTCCATGCCTAATAGGAGAGCCTTCAGGTATGCAACAGCAACTATTCGAACGCTCAGGCTGATTTTTAGCATACTCAGCTATTTGAAGGCGATCTGTAAACTTGAATATATCTAAACTCCATTGAGTTTAGATATAGTTAACTTTCCTTAGCACGGCAGTATAGCAATAAGTCTCTTGCATGCAGGTTTTCACATTTTGTCCTACTCCTCTCATTCGCTCATCCTGACTTCCGTTGAGGAGGCAGTTAGTGTCTAGGTATGCGTGAGGGATTTACTGGAGTTGGGATTTACGTATTCTCACGTACAATTTCGCGAGAAACAGGACCGTAGCCATTGGTTTTTCTCTGAAATATACTCCAAAGCTCAAAAAAAAGCTTTCAAAGTTGAGGCCGTGATGGCGGGAATATCCCACGCTACCCTGAGAGTCCACATCTGTATCAAGAAAAACTCTCCGTGCAAAGATAGGGAGCAAATACGTTAACAGGGTTGCCACTTTGTTTGAGAACTCCAAAACTGAAAGCACGACAAATCATGTGAATTCCGGAAAATCGTGCAAATTCCGGCAAATTTCCGCAAATCGTGTGTTAAAGAGTGGACTCTAGAATTTTTTGAAATGCTCATCGTGATTTGTGGGTGGTTTAATCGGCGAGAAGTCTATTTCTTTATTTGTATCTCTTGCGTGCAACGGACCCAATCGCTTCCTATCGGGAAGAAACGGATGAAAAGCGGGTATTTACGAAAACCCAGATCGAACTCGAACATTCGTTCGCCGGAACGATCGGATGAAAGAAGGGCCGGAGGACCGGATAGAATCCCGGATTTTAATTAATATTTATTCCTGCTCCATTATTTATTCTGAATCCTGAATCCTGGGCGTCCAGGTAACTTTTGAAAAAATGGAGATTCTCAAGCGCGCTCATCGTCTCCGCACGGCCGTCTTTGAACTTATAACTTTTAACAACTTTGTTTGCATTCTCGGGTGGGAGAGCCAAGGCGAACGGATTAAAGCAAGTTTCGAGGAGCAGTGGAAACTTCTCCTCGGGCGATGAGTGAGCCAACCGTTTAGATGCAATTCCGCGATGACGCCGGAGATATGAACGCAATTTGCGTGGCAGTCGATAACCCCCCTCCCCAACAATGAGCTTGTTGCAAGGTGCGGGGATCTATGAATTGATAACTGATTCCAATGGGAAATTTTGCTGAAGGAACGATGGTGCTAATAAAATATCTTAAAATCAAGAGAAAGGGTGTTTTAAGAAGTAACTCATTCAAAAGGTCTTTGCGGTCAAAATACATCTTTTCAATATACCCCACGTTGGAATGACTCTAGCGCTTAGTTCCATCAATTTGGGCTACATTTTTGCATTTAGAGACTTTTATCTCTGGCTCATTTTAAAAACAATAAATGTGCCTTTAGTTTCTTTAAGCAGGTAGGTGCTTTTATAGATACGTAAGAAACGGTAGGCCTTGACTGCAAAATGAGAGAATCGAGTCTAGACATGGTAAAATTGGAACATAATGAGCTCGTCATTGAGACATCAAAATGCTTATGCAATAACCAATAACCAATATGCAATAACCAATTTCTGTTACAATATCACTTTGATATCACTCTGATTTCACTCTGACTTATCTCTCTGTTCACTCTGTTCGCTCTGTTCGCTCTGTTCGCTCTGTTCGCTATGTTCGCTATGTTCGCTCTGTTCGCTTTTTTCGCTCTGTTCGCTCTGTTTGCTCTTATCAATCTGTTCAATCTGTTCGCTCTGTTCAATCTTTTCACTTTGTTCACTCTGTTCACTTTGATTTCACTCTGACTTCACTCTAAAGTCATTCTGACCATTCTTTTGATGTCGCTGTGATAGCAGAGTTTTGGGCGGACGTCACATTGCTTTATGAAATACAATATATATACTAAATATTGGATGTTATGTCATCAGTGTTATGCCACCCCCATTTTTACTAAGCCCGAATCATACGGTCAAAGCAGAGCTTTCAAAGTGGCGTCTCGTGGGATCACGTGACCCCAAGTGACAGCACTTTGAGAGCTCTTCTTTGATCGTATGATACGGGCTCTAGAGCAGTGGCGTGGCGTGAATAGCGATACATCGATTGTTATGCCATTTAAACCTATGGTAAATAATCGATTATTAAGGTGTTCGCTGCGAACACCGTTTATCGATCCTTTTCCATAGGTTTAAATGGCCGATCAGTCGATATATCGCAAAGCACGCCACACCATTGCTCTAGAGGTACCCAAATCAGTGAGACTGGGATTACAAAACGACTGAGAATACTAAATATTCGTTGCTTTCTGTGTTTCAGGATGATGCTGCCTCTAATAATGCTAGTCTCGCTCCTGCGAGTGACGTGGGGCGAGGAGGCGGAGGAGGCGGACTGGGAGAGCAGCCGACTGGGCCCGGACCCGGGCGAGGACGGCCCCACCTCCGCGGAGATCTACAAGCGCCTTTACAACTTCGGCCTCGGCAAGAGGGCCTACAGCTACGTCTCCGAGTACAAGCGACTGCCCGTCTACAACTTCGGCCTCGGAAAGAGGTCGCCCAGGCATTATAACTTCGGCCTAGGCAAACGGGCCGACCAATACGACGACGTTAGTACTCCTCAATATTTTAAAAGGAAGTTCGATGCTAAATGGGGTTCTCTGGGACCAGAGTATCTCCAAGGAGACCAAAAGAAAAATTTACAACGTCATCGTGAAGAGTATCGTAACTTACGGGAGTGAGGTTTGGCAACTCAAGAAAAGAACTGAAGACATGCTTAGGGCAACTGAGATGGACTTTTGGCGAAGGTCTGCTGGGATATCGAGAAGAGAGCGTATCCGCAATGAAAAGGTACGCGAGATAATGGGTGTGGAGAAGGACATCGTGCACGATATCAGGTCCAAGCAGTTGGTCTGGTATGGACATGTGCGAAGGATGGCAGATGCTCGGTTGCCCAAGCAGGTCTTCGATTGGGTTCCTCCCGGAAGGCGACGGCGTGGACGTCCTGTGAAAGGTTGGCGACAAGGGGTGGAGGAGGAGATCAGAAGGTGCCAATTGCCTGATGATCTCTGGAAGGATAGGGGGCAATGGCGATTGGGCGTCGCAGAGCGCGAGGCTGCGCTATAAAAGCGGCTTATGTATGTGTGTAGTTCGATGGCTCTGCCACACAGAGAGAAATTTCAAAACAAAAGTTTGGTTAATGTGGGAAGTAAAACACAAAATAACTCTAGCGTTCGGTTGAAACTTTCAAGAGAATATGCCAGCTGGTTTTCTTGAAGAAAGTCAATAAAAAACGAGTGGTGAATACCAACGTCGCGATCGGAGGAATGCCTTTTCCCAGTCTCTCCCTTGTTTTCTGCGCTGAATTTGCCGCAACCTGTACCGAACTCTACACAAAATTTGTGTTGATTTGTGTTTCGCTTTCTAAATTAACCAAAATTAACACAAGAACGCAAATATTTTTATCTGTTCAGACCACGTATCTCGTTTGCGGTGTTTAAAAACCTCCACCTCCCTTTTATTATTTCGAAGGAGAACAGATCGATATCATTCCTTGAAGTTATCAAATAAGTTTTCTTCGCGCGAAGAAGGATAATCATGAAGGTTTTCGAGAATTGGCTCAAAGTAGTGTTCCATTTAGAAATTAAAGTATGTCAGGAAGTCTATACTCGTAATGTCGCAAACCGAGATATGTGGTATAGTTTCACAGTCGAGTTGCAACTTTACTACTGATCCATTGCTACCGTGGCGCAGAAGTGTTGTGTAAGTTGCTTATGTAGTGACTGAAGGCGCTCATCTTGTTGAAATATGCAACGAAAACAAAGTGAAGTCTTATCAATCACAAAGAAAAATCACAAATAAAGACATAAGAGAGAAAGAAACCCTCTGATGTTAGGTCTTGTGCAGAGACAAGAGACCAGTATCTTTGCAATGATGGAAGCTTTTACTTTCGGGACTTCAACATTCAACTGTTGACCTACCTACTAGATCGCTGGTTAACAACGTGCTAAGAGTTTTGTTTCACAAACAAACCAAAGTTTGGGAAACTCGTTTGGCTCATGACGTCACCGGAAGCTGATCATCCACCTAGTAGGTAAGATGACTGTTGCTCCCTTACAATTGTCCATAGGGAATTGTTGAATCCCCGAAAGTAAATGCTTCCATGCATCTGTCGCCGAGAGGCCAGTGGAGAGTCTCTTGTCCCAGGTCTTGTGTCAGGTGATTTTTTTTGTTAAATTTTTAATTTCATTCTTTTAGATATTTTTTCGGCTATGATTTCAGATGTTGGACGACTCGTACCAGACGGCGGATCTAGTGAAGCGGATCCGACCGTACAACTTCGGGCTGGGGAAGCGCTCGCCGCGGCAGTACAACTTCGGCCTGGGCAAGCGCAACAAGATGTACTCCTTCGGACTGGGCAAACGCGCCGGCCTAGGCTCGGACGACTACGACCAGCTCGACCTGGACGCCTACCCCTACCCCCCGCTCCCCGCCCGCCCTGAGAGGAGCCTCCACTACAACTTCGGCCTCGGAAAACGGGACCCCGCCCCCGCCAAGCCACAGGGACCTCCCGCCTCCAAGGAGTCCGCACAATAAACCCACGTTCCCCAGCATCTTCCGCCGTACCCGCTTCAGTTCCTATTCGCCAGTGGTGAGGCGTGAATGATCGATTATCGATATTTTCCCATTTGAAGCTATGGTATAGAATCGAACACTGGAAAAAAAAACACACATTGGATCTAGAGTCCAGACTCTTGGAAACATTGACAAGAAAAAATACTCTTAATTCAATCGAATTTTTGCTTGAATCAAAACGAAATCCGCTTAAATTAAGAGGCTTGATTCTTGATTTAAGCTAGACTCTGATTGAATCAAGAGTATTTTTACTTGTCGATGGTTTTAAGAGTCTGGACTCTAGATCCAATGTGTTTTTTTTTTTCCAGTGAATGTTAACACCCTCTAAGGTATATCCTAAGGTATATCCTTTTTATCGATTCTTTTCCATGGGTTCAAATGGCAGATCAATCGGTATCGCAAAGCACGCCATGCCGCGCCACTGCTATTCACATCCTCTTTATTACGATTCAACCCGAGATAGACGGATCATTATGGTACGATTCTACGGAAAAAAAGTTCAACGGGCCACTAGACGAGGTCGGGATTGACCAGTAGACAAGGTGCGAATTTTAGCATCAAAATTTCACGTAGAACACGATTCGTGAAACCATAATGACTGAAATCAACTCCTAACTGAGATATAAACGTTCGTAGCACAAGGACAAGTTGGGCACAAGAATTTTGAATTATCCGCTCGCAAGAAGAATTATTGCCTACTTGAGTCAAAATCACTGAAAAAATAGTTCTGTCCATAGGGCTTCTGCACTTTCTTTGTTGCAGCTCCAGAAGTTGCCGTCATGAGGACTGAGAACTCTGTGCGCACGACTGAAGTTCTGTTCTCACAACAGAAAAGTTCTGTAAATATACCAAAAAGTGCAGGAGCTCTGTGAACAGAGGGTTTTGTCATCAGCACCGACTATTTCCACTTTTTTTTTTTTTTATTTTTTTCGGTATGTGGGCCACTAGACAAGGTCTGCAGCGAAAGGAAACGTCACAAGTTTTCTCTTCAAAATCTTACATAGAGAACAACTCAAAAAACGGGCAGTTTTGAGAGCAAGTCCTGAACAAGATATCAATAAGACTTATAAACACAGATCAAATGGAAGTTCGATTATACAAATGACGTCATTTGTATTTTTGTCATTTGACCAATGTTAATATAAAACACATCCTGCTCAGGAGTTGATTTTCAAACTTTCCGTTTTGTGGTTCGTTTTCCCTGGAGAATTTTGAAGAGAAACACGTATAGCGTTGTGCTTTAATTGGATTACATTTTGCAATAAGGAACCACTATTTCTGGCCCATTTTAGAAACAACATACATGACATTACTTTCCTTATGCAGATATGTGCTTTTATGGGAGTGCCAGAGATAGTGGTTCCTTATTGCAAAATGTAATCCAATTCATACCTTGTCTAGAGGTCCATGGCGCACTACAGCAGTTTCGGCAAGCTCCTTAATCGAGCAATGTTCCTTCTTTGCCTTGTGTTGTTCAAATTGTTAACAACATGCAACAGCTGAGCCGTAGCACCAAAATCGAGGTTGTTATCTTTTTATACCGAAGAAACTCTTACGGCAACGTTTAGTGCGCGATTAGTCTCAAGTAGACATTTGTTTTTTCATGAGCGGGAGGTTTGAAATTACACATTGAAGAACATTATTGCTACTTATTGTTAGTCAGGATTCATAATCAGTAATTTTCGTTCGGCAAATCGTGTTCTGCGAGAAATTTTGGTCAGGATCATGTATCATAATGCTTAAATTTGTACCTTGTCAACTAGCGGTCCTTTAGAAAAAAGTAACATGTTTCATTCTACGTGAAATTTTTAATTCATACCTCGTCTGTAGGCCCATTGTATAAGGAGCATGTTTCCGTATTCTGTACAGATCAAACTATTCGGTTTGTCAAACCGAACATGCGGTTCATAAGATTGGACTCTTCGGTAGAATTAGACTGAGATGAACATTTCGGTCACACGAAGCGAACGTTCCATTCTCTGCGCCGACTTGTCGCTATGACGAATAGAGTGGTTCAATCTATTTGAAGCACCGAATGGTCGACTCATACTATTGAACTTTCTTTTTCAGTCTGAGCTATTGCAAGCAGGGTCGTGAATCGAAAGGATTTTGAGTCGGTTCTGATCGCGGCCATACGGGCATTTTGATTCCGATTTTAAGAGCCCAAATAGAGGTCTCGGTTCCACATGGCACCCGAATTGTTTCGTTATTCCTCTTTTTTTTAAGCACAGTAAGTAGTTATGAAACTTTTTTTAAAAAGAAAAAATTTCGGTTTCTTCAATTTCTTGTAAAAATGTGTGTGGTGGTTTCAAAATTTCTCTGAAAGAAGCCCCGGAACCTTTTAGACGCCCGAATAATTTACTTTTTCTTTTTTGCTAATTTAGTGGTAGTATAGTTGTAGTGTAGCTTCCTCGGCTTTAAAAGGAATTTCAAGTTCCGACTTTATATTTCCGGCAGTGCAGGAATTTCGGTTCCAATTACAGAACTGCATCGACAAAATAATATGTTCATATAGCATTTTGGATGCCAAAATTTTGTCAAGCGAGAACTTGGTGCTGATTCAGCTACCCTCACGATTAACTTCACCTCTTGAGGTTGTGACATTAACTGTATATAGGGTGGCTCGATCAGCATGTGGGTGGTACCGGACTCAAAATGCTTGGTTTGTTTATTATTTTTTCGATGCGGTTTCAATATCAATTTGCAAAAGTTCACGAACATGTTAATGTTGCCCCTTCAAATTTAGTTGTAGATTGTCCAAACAGTGATTAAAATTGGGTTCCAGGCTCCAGGATTCATTCCGATTCACAGCCCTGATTGCGCAAAGCTTCCGTAGTTAAAGTTGGTCAGTCTGCGCAAAAGCCCTTTATAGATCGTCCGGCGTCCTTCTGCAAAGTGGGCAGTATTTGCAAATAGACCGAATGCACAGAATCCATACACATTTTTTCTCACATTAAAAGTCCCAAAACCGATATTCTTGCGGGGAAAAAACTACTTTTCTAATTTGTATGTCGGTGAAACAGGATAAAGGTGTAACCAATCAAAGAATGAATGACTATATAATCGGAAAAGGTATGATCCGATTGCTATCTTATTTCTCTCGAAAAATTGATAATCCTATTTTCGCAGATACTGCTCTCTTTAGTAGCGTGGCAGAGGGAAAAGTTGAGACAACTCAAGGTCTAATGCCAGAAACCGTCAGAAAAATTTTACAATGCTTGCGGTTTTTACCAATTTTAAATCAACGAATTTCAATGCTCCCTTACCTTTCCCCACCTCAATTTTGGTTTTTCCTAATTATTGTAGCCTCAATTATTAGATTCATTTTTTTTTTTGTAATCATTGAACTGCAAACTCTCTGACTCTGACAGTTTGAGGCGTGAATGGAGAGTATGAAATACGATCAGGATTGGATTTCACATGTCTTAACGTCTCTCTACAAAAGGACTCTAGTGTGAAATAGAGATCAGAAATTCCCCAAATGGTGAACATGAATTTCCTGAAACTTGTCCGAAGACTTTACTGGTTGCTCCTCAAAGTGTGAATGCGTACTGTATTAGTGTGCGGTTCTCCACTGAATCTTTCGTAAAAGTGGATCTCAGTCAAGAACTTCTGAGGGAATTTCCAATTAAAGCTCTGGTCAAACTGTTGTCTGATTATACTGACCGTGTTTCATAAAACAGTCTGGCATTTGCCTCGTGACATGGACACTCTGACTTCATGCCGGATGCTTTGACGTCCGTCATATATACGAGAGTGGTGCAAAGCGTTTTTTGTATAAAGAGAAAGTCTAATGTCAGTAAGACTCACTTTCACAAGGGCTGAAATGTTGAATTTATTTTTTACTAGAGAACTATGTTCGGTTTAAGATTTCAAGCAATAAAGTTGCTCTGTTTTAATCTGATGAAATACTTGAAGTAGAAACAGGAATTTTTGAACTAGCAATTTAAATGCATGTTTTATAACTCAGCCAATAGGTAATATTTTCCACGCCGATGTTATGTTCTTACCCTTTAATGAAAATCTATTCAAAATTAAAATGCGGCTGATAATGTATCAATACAAAATCTGAGACGTATATAAGGAATGATGGATTCACACGCTGATACCATAGTGATCCGTTTTAATGTTGAAGAAAGGGGAGGGAGGAGGGCTCTACCTGCATTTGAAGATGGTCCATAAAAACTTGGTTCTTAATTTTGGGCCATATCATTATATTGTCAGTTATTTCCCCCTGTTTTTTTAAACACTTTGGCGGTCAATAAAATTTTGTCCTCGCCTGGCTTTACTGCATTTTTTGTTAACCTATTAAAAACCTGTCATAACAAATTTCCATTAAGTCTCCCAGATTACATGAAAATTTTTTAAAGTTTCCAAATTCAGCTGGTTTCAACGGTACAACACAAAGTAATAAATTTGTTCGTCAGTATGTTAACGTCAAAAATCGATTAAGCTTTTATTGACGATCAAAAGATGAAAAATGAGAACTCGGGGGATAGAAAGAACGTTTACAATATGAAATTAGAGTGTTAGTCCTCCTCCAGTTGCCCTCTTGTTTTTCCTGTCTAACCCTCTTTACTTAGATGAATCGTGTGCATGGGGCCATATTTTAGCCAAATTTACCAAACCCGAAAAAGCTTTAAAACTTTGAGAATCCTCGAAAAATGTTCACCCTTGCTTTTACTTTATATTTCTTTAATCGTGGGATACCTAATTTTTGGTCTAGAAATTTAAAGATTCATCAAAAACATAACAAATAGTAACCATGAGTGAATGTAGGACTTACAGTCCACTAATATCTCGTTATAGAGATAAAACAAACAACAAATAAATTATAATACATCTCCATATGTTATCTAAATTTAGTTTTAAGGCTATCTCTTTTCTAAAAAATAATGGAAAGAATGACGTCATCCTTTGAATTTTTCTGGAACGGAAGACAACTGCTGTAAAACTTCGGTGAACATGGGTGAAAGTACAAATTAACCGTGTTCTAACAAGAACATAAGCAGTTTCGCCTATTTTCACATGTACATCTGGCTCTGGACTCAGTTGCTCTAGCCAGAACTGAAATTCTAATACCCTTGAAATTCAACTCGCCATGCGTTTATCTTGCTATTCATTCTCCTTTTGTTATTCTGAAGATTTTCATTAAGAAATAAATTGTTTATTTCGTTCCTTATGCATGAGTCGTCAAGTGCATTTCCGTTTGAATCACATACCTATTCATACAATTGATTATTCGGATCCGTTCACTGTCGGATTCAAGCGGCTAAGGCTGCCGCGACTGATTTCAATGTTTGTCCTGTTTTCAGTTCTTGAATATTGTTTAAAAATAAAACTGAATAAATATTTTATATAAATCATCTGTGTGTGACTAAATTTTTTTACACTTCCTGAAAAATTCAGCATCATTTAGACTATGAAACCACCAAAACACGAACCCATAGGCGGTTCTATAGGAGCTGGGAGCGTCATGTTTAACGGTTTCGCAGGTGAAACTGGAAGATTTCCACCCGTTTTACTTCAGGCACTTAATTAAATTCTAAAAGGTGAAAATTCTGAATGGCAATCGAGTGCGGGTGTCAAGCAATAACATCTCATGAAAGTTCGTACCTTCCTTAAATCTCTTTTGATTTAATGCAAATATTCTGGAAAACTTCTGAAATTATTTCTTTGAATTTTTCAGATACTCAAAATGTCATCCAATGTATCTGCAATGTTAAAGGAAAAATATTCAAAAGTTTCCTCAATTATAAATATTCATGGAGGGAAACTCGATATCGAATATCGAATATATATCGCGATATCTGAATGTTCAAACGACGTTTTTCATTAGCGCGGTAAAACAAGATTGAGAAGAGGCGAACTTTTAGGACTAGGATTGTATTGTCAAATCAACCACTCGTAGCTTTTTAAAGTATTTTATCCCGAAACTACATATCTAGTTCAGAACTGAAATTTTGCCATCCCTCAAGATTTCATTAACTTTATATGAGTCACTCTCAGTTTTGTATTCGTATTCTGCGCGATTTTTCTCTAGGTAAGGATGTGTCGCGCGCAATTATCAATCGCCGGCAATTTGCAAGCCAGTGGTGAATAAATATAGAAAATCATATAATTCAAAAATGAAAGAACAAGATTAGAGAGCTGATTATGTTGCCTATGATGTGAATAGACACTTTTCCATCCTTAAAAAATGGCAGAAATATGCGCACTCAGGAGAACATGCAGTGAACTCCGTGACATTAGTCGGGTTGAGATCGGACAGGCAACTAAACTAACATCGTGACAAAGCGTAGAGTATCTCGAAAAATGAAGGCGCTTCAAGCCGAGCTCATACTTCTGAAGACCATAACCCTTAAAAATTGCATTATACCGATGCGCATTATTGCGATATATTGAAACAACATGTGAACCGCTTGCAAATTGCCGGCAATTGCTAATTGCCTGCGACATATGCACCTAAAAGTATTCTCAGAACACAGCATGTTAATATTCAGATATTAATTATGATAAAAAACTCATGTAACAATTTTGAGTCGCCGCCGCCGCAGTCAAAACATACTTATTTCTCTAGTGTATCATCAACGATTACGAGTATTCAATTCTCTGTATTTCCTTCCACTTCATCGATTTGATTAATGTCAAGAGAGAACTTCCTCGTGAACCAACGGCTGTATATCGGACTATTTAGACTGACGTCATACATTTAGTACCAAATAAATGACGCATTGGCTCATTTCCCCCTCTTTTAATCGACACTTTACCGAATCGACTACGATTTCATGACGTAAGAAGAATCGTTTCTGGCACCTAGGAATCAAATGATTATTTCTGGTTTTGCGGCAGTAAATACTTAGTGGTAAAAGTCATTTGCCATTGATAATTTTTGTCATATAGTTCTTTAAGGCATTGGTATAAAGAAAATTGAGCAATTTCTGCACAATTTTCAACCTGCTGGTCAGGACAAAGTGCGAAATCACGTAACTCCGTTTGCGACGACTTCCCGTTATAGTTTATGATTTCTTTGGAAAGCTAATCAACTTAATTTCTTAAAAAAAAAATTGATTTTTCTTCTCTATTGGTGGGAGAAATGAAACAGGAGCAAAGATTTTGAAATACTCAACTTGAGATATGTGCGTTCCCACACTTTGGCCCACCATGTGTAAATCAGTCGATACTAAACATTTTTAAAAAAATCTACGTGTGGGCATGTTTACGTTAAAATCACTCGAACGTGGCTTATTACTTGCAATTTTAAGAATTTTTTAAGAGTGCTTAACTTTGAAATCATCGATTTTTCATCAAAAATATTTCAAATGTATGTGCTTGAGATATCAATTTACAACAGAGCAAGAATCTCTTAATTTTCAGCCACATATTTGTTCACAGAGGTTGTGGCCCCATAGCATTATTTTATAGCCCACATTAAAGGGGCGCTACATCGACGGTGTAAGTCGGCAGTCACACAACTCGTTTGCGGTGTTTGAAAATCTCCGCCTCTATGTTATTTTTTTAAAGGAGAACAAATTGACATCATTCCTTCAAGTTTTTGCAGAATTTTCTTCGCACCGCGAGGAAAAATCACGGCAGTTTTAAAGAGTTGCCGTTGAGTAGTTTCCCGTTTAAAAATTAAAGTATGACAGGAAGTCTGCAACGTCGCAAACCAAGTTGTGTCATTGCTGACTTACACCGTTGACATGTATTTCTCCCCCTGCATTTCCCATACTCACATGAGAATTTTGCTGCATCTGGAACAAAATTTTTTGAAGTGAGAGTTCTACTGGCAACACTGAAAAAAATTCTCGGCGTTTTTACCAAGGTCCGTTAGTACCTTTACCATATCACTCTTTTTACCAATTATTGATAATTTTACCAAGACAGACTGGTAAGCGTACCTAAAAACCGGTATTTTTACTGTTTTTTTCAGGTAAGAACACCACTTTTATTGCTAATCAATTCCCGGTAACTTTGTCATTTTATCCCGGTAATTTTACCACTTGCAGTCGATAAAAAATATTGGCATTTTTACCGGGGTCCAATAAAATTACCGAGAAAGTCAATAATTTTACCGAGATTTCTCGGTAAAATTACCAATGTCATAAATGGTAATTTACCAAGAAAAAACTGGGATCAAATACAACCCTGAATTCTTGGTAATTTTACCCTTTTCTTAGTAAATACACCGAGATTTTTTTCCCAGTGAAGATGGCATGATTTAGGCAGCAAAAATTCTATAAAACATCTCATTCATAGTTGGACGGATTAAGGCGTTGAGATAAGTAGATATGGCAAAAATCTGAGCCGAGGCTCCTGGATAGAGACTGAACAGAAGCAATCGATGTCGGAGTTTTCCAAAGACTCATGTGTCACTTGCGGTGTATTTATTTCCTTTATTTTAATAGTCACTTGAGATAACAGTGGCCGCGCTGCGTCAATGAAGAGGCAGCTTGACACGTATTGGAGCGCATTGATCGAGCTGCTTATTTCTAGAAGCACTTAAGAACTACGGGGAACCTGCGGCCCTTTCACCTTTTTTTCGAACGAACTGCATTTTAGGTAGCACTTGAGAGGCGAGGGCCGACCGCTCTTGGGCAATTTGTGGATTAGAAAAGTGTTAAGATTAGCGATATCCGAGACTTTTCATTCAAGCCAGTGTAATTCATTGTTCCGACCGGATTACTGTGTGAATTTATTGGTGGAGTGTAAAAAATATTAGCGCAGATATGAAGCAGCTGGTGACATCTTTGCTGCTGGCAGCGATCCTCACCTTCGTTCAGGTGGGTTTGACCGTGAAAAGAATTAGCAAAGTTGCTGCAAAGGTCCGAAGTGTCTTATTTTTTCGCTGCAAAAAGAAAGTTTGATGTGAATTAGAAGGATTCGGCAGAAAATGGCCTAACTACACGTCATGTTGCCCAATTTCCTCTCGAATTGTATTATTCCACAAAAATATTCCACGCGGTTCTTCAGCAGCTATAGTCGAGCGATCAATTGATAGTTTCTGGATTTCAGGACATTTTTGAAGAATTTCCGGTCATCGAATCACACTGCAGTGCGTCAAGTTTTTGTTCGCTTTCGCTAGGAAATACTTTGAAATACTTGAAACCGAAAGTACGTCCCGGGTGATATCGTAAATCGTTTTGCCTTACGAGTTTCGATATTCACAGGGACCGTACTTTTGAAGCTACATTTCAAAATGTTTCTTTGTCAAATTCTGTGTACGAATACCCGCTGAACCAGAGCGTGATATGGTGTTCGGAGATTTTTTAAGAAATCCAGGCTAAAAGTAGAGAGGCTTGAATGATCGATTATCGATATTTCTCCATTTGAAGCTACGGTGCCTAAAGTATCGATCAATAAGGTGTTCTTGGCGAACGCCCTGTTTATTGGTCCTATTCCATAGATTTTAATGGTAGACCAATGGTGGACGCCACGCCACTGCTCCTACCCTGGTAAAAATTGGCAGTAGAATGTGTGTTCCAAAATACTGCAGACCTAAAGCCGGCTGTGAGATTTCAAATAGCTTCTGTAGCTGACTGTACAATTTCTTATAGCCTTTTATAGCCGATGGCGATTAAGCAACAGCCAGACGATAAATTTTATGCTAAACGTTACTAAATACGGATACTAGGACTTAGTTAGTTTTTGGACTACCGCTCTCTTTTTGTGCCGTAGTATCTTGATTTATTTTGCGAGGGAAGCTTCGTACTTTTGAAAGATGCCTGAAATTCTTAATATGTTGGAGCGCTTTCAATTTCTTATGATACTGTGCAATACCTCTGGTGTGAAATAGTTGCTTCAGACGCCGTGGCACGCTGCGGCGCGGCGGGCGGGCAGCCAGCGCGATACACGCATCGGCGCCTACAAACCTAACAGGAATACTTCACGCATTGCGCGGCGACGCACTGGCGCCTACAAACCTAACAGGGATACTTCACGCATTGCGCAACGCGTGAATTATCCCTGTTAGGTTTGTAGGCGCCAGCGCGTCACCGCGCAATGCGTGAAGTATCCCTGATAGGCTTGTAGGCGCCAATGCGTCGCCGCTCCGCTTTGTGTTAGGCTCTAATATTTAATCTCGCGGAGTCAGCGTTTTTCAACTCATGATGTTGAACTGTTTGCACACTCTGTATGGACCATCTCATTTTAATTGATGAAAAAAAATATGTAGTAAAGGAAAATATAATGTGCGCTCTGTAAATATTAAGGTGATTCCGTACAAACTTAAGGATTTACAAAGCACAGGAATTTCTACACTATTTCATACTTAGCCTTTTATAGCCGATGGCGATAAAGTGTAAAGCCCGGCGATAGGAACTATAGCCCGACTGTATACTTTTTTATAGCTTCGTATAGCCCGGCTATATGATTTGCTCCGCTTTCTACAGCCAGCTATATGATTTTCAATAGCCTTCTTTAGTCGGCTATAGGAACTCCTATGGTATTTTGAAACGCAGCTCGTATCACCAATTTTTACCAGTGTACTCGTGAGAAATAGAAAAATCACGAATTCTAAATGGCAAGCCTTGCACCTATATGTGTTGGGACGGGTAGCCGAATGATCGCACTTACTATTCTCAAGAATCATTTCTAGAATTGAGATGGTTTCCTCAACACTTTGAAATGAGTCAAAGTAACCTAAGCTTTTAAATGGTGTTTATATTAACGCACTATTTAATTGTCACCAAAAATTACCAACTGAAATAGTTCAACCAACGCCGCCTGGGTTTGATATTGTCATTATTTTTTTTTCGGTGCAGTTTTATTCAGGTACCTATAAAAAAATGCAAAAAATCGTTGCGAAAACAATGTCACAACCTTTCCGCCGAAATTAACGTTGCAGTAACGTTCTGCAAATATTATAAACGTCATTTTCGGTAATTGCTCGGTGGGCAACTGACGTTAGTATGTAAAAGGCCTAAATTGACGATCACTGGCCGTTTTCTCTCCATATCGGTGGTGAAATCACCAAACCACGTTTTTCGGTTAAAAAACCGAAAGGCTCGGTGAGGAAATATTTCCGCAACATTATTACAGCATTTTTAAAGTTTTACGGAAATATTTTTGACAAATTTACGAAAATATATTTGAAATATTTTAAAAATGTTTTTTGATTTGCAGGGATGTGAATTAGTACTTTGACAAGGCTTGATGACGTCAAAATTAAAGACGCATCCCATTTTTAAGGGTGAAAGAAAGCCGTGAATTAGACGTATTTATGCTAAAAGAAACTATGTCACAAGCATTCCCTATGCACATCGTTCCTTTTAGCATAAATACGTCCAATTGGGGGCCGGTTCGCAATTTTCAGGTCAAGTTACATGGAGCCCCTTTAGAAACCCACGTGTCCACTTTTCCCGCTAAACAGAGGCTGAAAATAAGATCCTCTCCTTACTGCGTGATAAACAAGATTAGCCGTGATTCATGTTGAAATGAGAAGTTAAAAACACAGTAGCGTTTGACATGAGACCGATAAGTTCTTCACGCTATACTTGAGAACACATAGCGAAGTGTCTAAAAAATGACGCCTCGCAAATTTCAACTCAACAAATCCTAGTGACGAATCTTCATCCGCACGCAAGGATACCTACCTAGACATTTGAACAAGAAAACGTCTCGTGTCTTTCTTCGAAAAGAAGGCGCTCAATGGGCTCTTGTTCGTACCGCCTCCTAACAAGAGGCGTAGGTATCGACAGCGTAAGCCCCAAACCACGTACCTCGTTTGCGATGTTTCAACAACTCCACTCCTAATTTATTTTTTGAAAGGAGACCGAAACAACATTGTCAGATTGTCACAGCAAATTCTTCACATACGATGCCATTAATAACACTTCGGGGAAATATGGGTTTCGGATCTATGCCATTAATATAACCGAGGTTGAGGCACCATGTCATTAACATTGATTCGACACCATGTCAGTAATATGACTTAAATACTGATGGTAGAGCGAGCTGTTGAGTTCCTAAATGAAATAGTGTTGAAAACACTAAGTCGTGATTTGACAATGCTTTATTCTTGGTGAAGGGAGAAATTCTACACAAGCTCACAAAATCTCTCATGAGTTACACAAAACTTTATCAAAAGAGAGCAGAAATGATATTAAAGAACGCGAGTGAAAAAGATGGATCGAGCCTTTGAATTTCTCAAATTTTTGCGGGGGAACGCGCGCGGCGTGAAGTTCACGCGTCTAAATGATGGGGGAAAAGACCTGAATTCTTACAAACGAAAGCTTTTATAGTAGGTAATGATTATGTCAGCTAAGGCGTAATTTAGAAGGAGCCCTATCGTCTGTTGGACCTCGGTTGTCCTTAAGCTTTTCGATCAAGCAAATAGTAATCATACTAAAATTGATAATTGTAGGATTACGAGGTCGTTGAACTGGAAATAGGACTCGAGTTGAAACCTGGAGAACTAGAATAAATCGAAGGTGTAAGTCGGCAATCACATAACTCGGTTTGCGACGTCGCAGACTTCCTATCATACTTTATTTTTTAAACGGAAAACTACTCAACGACAATTCTTTAAAACATTCGTGATTTTTCTTCTCTAAGTGAAGAAAATTCTGCAAAAACTTCAAAAAATGATGCCAATTTGCTCTCCTTTAAAAAAATATTATAGAGGCGGAGATTTTCAGACACCGCAAACGAGTTATGTGATTGCCGACTTACACCGTCGAAACGGAGTTCTTACATCTAAACATCATTGTCGCGAAACCAAGAAGAAAGTATATGCCAGAAATAACTTATCGACGATGAAACTACCGAACCACGTATCTCATTTTTAGTGTTTGAAAATCTCTGTTCTCATTTTGTTTTTTTTAAGAAGTATAAATCAACTTCCTTCCTTAAACTTTCCACAGAATTTTCCGGAGAAAATAAATGAGAAGGTGCGTTGACACGCAGACATGAAACATCGTGGAAGGTTTCAAGAATTGACGTTGAGTAATTCTCCATTTAAAGAATAAAGAATGACAGGAAGTCTGCAATAGCGCAAACCAAGATACGTGGTTTCGGAGTTTTGCCGTCGATATTCTTAAACGATGCGAGACCTCATGCAGAGGCCGATTTTGACCCTGAAATTCTATTCCACCATACTTCGACATCACTGATTTTCCAAGTTTGTATTTTCAGTTTCTGTAAATTTGATTACCATTCAACGATGCAAAAACTCCACGATCCTTCGATCCTGGAATTGCAGGGTCACTGGCCAGAAATTGTGTGAACCGTGGAAGATCCGGCAACCAGAACGATTAAAGCGCGCACCGCACCGTAGCGTAGGCGCAATGCGTGAAGTATTCTTGCGGTCTTGTAGGCGCGCACCGCTCCGTGGTATACGCGCAATGCGTGAAGTATTCTTGCGATCTTGTAGGCGCGCACCGCTCCGTGGTCTACGCGCAATGCGTGAAGTATTCTTGCGGTCTTGCAGGCGCTAATATGCGTGTCGGGCCACCCTGTAGATTTTTCTCGATATTGGACGGGAAAAGAAAATTCGGAGTAACCGACTAACCCCACGCAGTTCGAGGTGTAGAATCGATTGCGAAATTGGGCAGTCCTGACGGCCAAAATATTTTCATAAGTTCATTTTGCAGTTTCGGGGCTGCATTTCTTGCAGGCAACTGGGGCCCAATTTTCTAGGCTTCTTAAGTATTGCTCATTATTATCCCCAGTACCAATGACCTTCAAAACGCAGTTCCCAAAAACTCTTAAAGAAGTGTTAGAATGGTCGTTTAAGGAAATCCTTGCAGGCTATTCTTTTTTAAAGTAACGTTTAACTCAAGGTGAAATTTACTTTGTAAAGTTTTTGAAAGAAATACATACTTTTTTATGAATTTTTTAACAATTTTTCGAACTTTTTAGTGTTGAAAATTTACAGTTTGGTGTTTCAGGAGTTTTCTAACTCATTTTTATTACTTAACTTTGAGTCAAATTTTACCTCTCACAAATACTTTAAAAAATACCGAAAAGGGATTTCCTAAGTGAACATTTTAGTAGTTTTTAAGAGTTGCCCTTTTAAACTTTATGCTTTATTTTTACTTATTTATTTATTTATTTTTTCGGAGAGGGTCATTTCTAATAGAGATGCTGTTGATTAGAAAAGCTTCCGTCAATAGAATATTAGGTATTAGATTATTAGGTACGTCATGTCTGCTCTCTCCTAACTCGTACCTAATTATTTTCTATCCTTTTCAGCAGGCAGCCTCAATTCGAGAAAATGATTACTCAGATGGTGCGTCCGATTTTCCGAAGCTGCAAAATATCGAAACTATCGTATCGATCGGACAAAAAGCGCTAGAAATAATGGAAAGGTCCGGCACGAACAGTGAGGAAGGACTGATGGTGAGATTGCGCAACTCTCTGGGAAAGCTCAGCGAACTATCAAAGCAAATAGAAGAATCGTACTACGCATTGAACTACTCCCCCACCGACTCAAGATTTGATTTCTGCGTCAACATTACATTCAGCATTGCAAAAGCTGAGAGTATGTTGTTGGACGTAACCCGATTAGCAGAGCACATTGAGGCTACAGTGCATCGGTTCGGAGAGTCAGCTAAGCAAAATTGTAACATGCCTGGTATTATTCGCAAAGCTATTTGTTTCCTTAATCTTGTGGACAGTTTCAACCCTGATTATCAAGCTCACAAGCGAGAGTTGGTGGTAATTTTAGAGAAATACGAAGTTATAGTGGAGGAACTCAAAACGAACATCCGCAAGTGTTTTTATGATGTCTGATGATGAATTTTTCTATTCTTTAATTTTTTATTATTGATTCCAAGAAGATCTAATTCCTCTATTCTCCAATTTTTTATTCATCAATAGTAAGAAAGAATCAAAACGCTAAAAAGGAGAGATTGCAAGAGTACTAAATAAGCTAATTTTGTCTTAGACAGTTCATTCATTCTAACTAGTCTCTTAAAATCCTTAAGCTACCTCTAGGACATTAGAATTAGCGCAAAGCAATTCTTAAAGCAAGAATCTATGATGCACTCTTGTAAATATCTACAATGTCCCTTTTCGGATATGATCGGGTTCAAATCAAAGTCTTAAAATTTGTTGATTCTTCAACTCGTTTTAAGCATCTACTCGCATAGATCTCTCGTGACTCTCCAAAAAAAAGCTGAAAGTAAATCACATTCAAATGCAAGAGAGGTAGTGGTCGATGATCTGTCACATCATGGTAACATCAGATATGACTGTTTTTAAGTAGGTCTACTGTGAGGGCAGGTTACCTATTTTTTCGTGTTAACTGTAGTCAAACCTCAAAAACCCAACCTCTCAACATACCTCAATTACCTGCCTACGAATGAGCTAATTCAAAAACTGTTCAATTATCCAAAAAGTAAATGCGATTTCGCAACTACGCCATGTGCTTTCTTGATCATTACATAATTTACATTTCTTCTTGTGTGTTTTTCTTTTCCAGCATTTTTACGTTTTCCCCTAATGGTAAATACTGACACCTTCTAGATAAAGTATCACAAGGGCCATTTACACTTACACTTTAAGTTGCCGAAAATCTTCATATGTACTATTTTAATTTTTTCTCTTAGAATTCTGTATTTTCATGATTGCAGGGCTTAATTTTGATTGCAAATGAAATAGAACTATTAGGTAAAATTCTCAAGTTATTCTATTCATTAATTTGTCCGCACAAAATTCGACAAAATTTAAAGTTTGAGAAACTTTGCAACTTAATGCCTACGCTCAAATGGCACTTGTGATACTTCGGTCGGAAGGTGATGAAATGTAGTCTGAGTGAAAGAATACCTGAATTCATCACAAAGTTTTTCATAAAAATAAAGACGGGAGAGTCTAAAGATACAACCGCAATTTGTATGGAGCATAAACATTTTTTAATTAATTCATAAAACTTTAACACCAAATTCATTAAATGTTTCTCAACAAAACCTTTGGACACTTCAATAAATATACTAAGAAAAAAGAAAGGACAACTCTAGCACTTTAAAACTTAAAGGAAAAATGTTCCTATTACATTATTGCAGCAAGTTTTTGCAAAAACTTATCAAATATTTGTACATTTGAGAACGATGGGAAATAGTATTTTATGTACAATATAGAGATTGCCTACTTGAAAATATAGCGCTTACTTACATACATTTACACAATTAATAAAACCGAATTCTCCGAGGAAGTGTGAACATATTGTGCCAAGCAGCTGATGCTACATCGGACGGATTTGCCTAGAATCGGTCCAACTCTATCAGACGTTGCCTCATTTCCCACCATGATTTAAATTTACAACGGAAAGGTAATGATATTTTAATTTGAAATTTTGCAAGTATATTCATTATAAGCCAGGGGAAATGTAGAAAAATGTTCAAGGCATTATGTAATATAGTTCACTGTAAAAAAAAATGATAAAAAAATACTAAAAAAAGATTTTAAAAAAAAATGAACTTAAGAGAAAATTAGGCGACATAAAATGTATTGGGCTGATTAAAATTTGCCAGATAGTGTGCACTTTTTCCCATTTAACCTCATGAAAATATCTACATTTGAATGAACAACCTGGCAACCTTGAGCTGATTCTATTAAAATCCATCCGAATGATTGATGGCATCTTACTAGTATACCAACTGTAGTGGTCTCATATTTATTCAACTATCATTCATAGTTGCAATTGTTTCAATCAATCTGGCCAGAATTTGGATAGGAAGCCTCCATCCTTCAGAAAAACTCTGAGAAAAGCGGACAGCATAACATGAAAATTCCAGGGAAAACCCAACTGGAAAAAAGATTGAAGAATTAATCAATATTCATTATAACAAATTTCCATACATATCAAATGTTTGCATCTCATTTTAAGTCTTTCCAAATGTTTAATCTTCCAAAACTGCAGGTAATGGAGAGATCACGGACACAGTGTATTACAAACGTTTAGGAATAATCAATCGAGGGTATTTTCCAGCTTGTAAATCACATAACTTTCTTGGTGGAAATTCAGTAAATAAGGAAATTTGTACATTGTTCGTTGCATAGATAAGTCTTTGATTTAAAACTCTGGAGAATGCGTTTTCAAAGCGCAGTGAAAAATTAAATACGTTTTAAATAGTTGCTATCTATTCTTTCTTGGAACAGTCACATTGATAATTAAGGGACAGAATGAAACATACTTTGAAAAAAGGTTCTTCGCTTTATAAATAAACTGCACTTGGGTTCATGATTGGTGTTACATTGGATTACTCTCTCATTTTATTTTATCGAAGGAGAACAAACCATCGCTAGTGCCTGAAATGATTGAAGATTATTCTTCACACAGAGAAGAAAAATCAGGGAAGTTTTCAAGAAAATACATTGAGTATATTTTCATTAAAATATATTAAATATGACAAGAAGTCAGTAGTGTCGCAAATCGAGATATGTTTCCCTACAGTTTCACCATTGATAATGTTTTGTACAAATAGAGCCATATCTTTCGGTATCAAAGGAATTAGTTAATAAACACCACTGAACTTTTTGAAGCTGAAAATAAACTTGGTAAGAGAAAAAGTTATGAAAGTAAATGGGGTCACACCATAGTATCTTGGAAACAGGTGATTTTCCTGAGCTTAGATTTAAAAACGTACCCAAAGTTATGAGCAAATCTTGATTTGTGACGTTTCAAAAATTTTAGCAGGCATTATTTCTTAAACAAAAGGGCAATGACTGTCGATCTCAAAAATGCTTATTCAATTTTCAGATTATTTTCCTGGAACTTCACTGATGAGGTCAGCAGAATTAGAGCATATTTTTCAACAGAATAGTTTGAACTCAATAGTCTTAAAACCGACTTACACTACAAGTGACTTAACATAATATTATGCCTTAAATTCACTTAAAGTAAGGATAATTAGCGTACTGGTTTGATATTTTGATTTGGAGGATTTCATACAAAATAGAAAATTTCGTATCTTAAAATAGGCGCAATGACCAATTCTTAAATGAAATTCCTAGGAGAGCTTTCAATAAAATTGAGACCCAACAAAACATGCTGAGGGGGATCAACTCCACACCTTTGACACGTGACTTTTAATCTATTTTATACCTTTACAATCAGAGCTTATCAGCAAACTTAATTATACTTTCAGAGAAATGAAGACTTACATGTACAATACAATTAATGGTGTCCGTCCACAATTTCCGCAACTTGAATCAAAGGGGTGAGAGACGATTATTAATCAGAATACACTCTTAAGAAAAAAAAACAAAAAAACATATTGATGGCTGAGCTCTGAATACAAATAACTTTACTTTTGTACATTTTGAGACAAGTATGTGGCTGCAGAAGAGTTAAAGAGAATATTATCAAACGAAGTGCTCAAGTTCACTGTCAGAAAAATCAAGGGACTCCTGTAAATTGTTCAATCATTCTCCTGGGTCCAAAATTCGTTGATTATGTCTGCCCCGAGTTGAGTCAAGGTTGCTTTTAAATCTGACTGAAATTTTTTTGAAAGGTGCTATCTGCAAGTGAGGTTTTTTCACAGCTAACTAGATCAACGCTCAAATCTAATGTGATGTAAACCAAAAGGCGGTCTTCAATTAGGTAAAAATAAAAAAAATACTTTCAGTTGTCTAAAAATGAAATTTTCCGGTCAATACTTGAGTTCTGATACAATAAAGATTTTTTTATTGTGTTCAAAGGTAAGCCATCGACATATGTCTATCATTGATACAAACAAGGATGACTTAATAGCAGCACATGTTTAGGCACCTTAGATAAAAAAAATAAGAAAGGTTTTTTTGAGGAGACATACTAATATATGATCGGATTATAGATATGAACTTTTTCCACCTAGGGACGAAAATCTCTATATTCCTTCTAGGCTTCCGAAAATTATTTAAATTGAAATATCAAGAGCTCAATCTTTTTTTGATTGATTGTTGGCCTCGGTGAAACAACTTTCAATCAATTTTTTACTTTATGCCAGGGTTGAGTTCTTAATTGATATGATTCAATAAAGATCTTGAAAGTTAGAAGAAAGAGTTACAACAGAAGATAACTGATGCATAAAACAACGATTCTTATTTCACATGCAAGGGTAGCTTGAAGAGTTCTTTTCAAATTTTTTCCCTTGCAACTGTGCAGCAGAAAAGAGGACAAAAATCGTTCATTATGAGACATTTCTTAAATTTGGTTTTAACTACATAAAATTCGGTCACGAATAAAATCATTTTAATTAATATTTAAACTTGATGCAATTTTAAAGAATAAGATACCAGTCCAGTATTAAGGGAGGAATTTGTGGTGGTAAAAATTTACAAATTTATATTCAGTTTTTTTTTTTTTAAAAAAAAAAGCAAAAATGAAGACCATTGATTTTTCTCTTTTACTAAATGTGCATTAACGATAACATGAATCCGGGAATCAGCAGCATTGTTAGGGGAAGACCAGCAACAATGAATCATTAACAGTCAATTGCAATCATCTTGAGTATAAAATATGAGTTTAGGAATTGTGGAACACTGCTCGTTCTCTTTTTTTGTACGAGAAACAATATAAAAATGTTAGCTGTGCATGATTAAAATATTTTTGGTCCTCCAAAACAATGCAAGGTTAGGTATTTCACCCTTATTTTCTCACAATGCTACTGATACAATTGAGTGAAGCAATGTAAAATCTAAAAAAACGTAAGAGAACAACAAAGAAAACATCCGCGAAGGAACCAAAATAAAATCGATGATAGACTGAATTGACACGATTGACCCACTTTGCTTTCAAGAGAAAGTCAGTTCAGAGTAGTGCTACTTTACAACTTAAATCTAAGAGAACTAGGAAAACTCAGAGGAGAAAATAAATAAATAAATATCTCTACGAGCCTATTGCTATAGACTTTGCGTAACATTTCACTATACACTATTTACAGGAGTCAAAACTTATCAGATATCTACAAAAATTAATCCTAACGATTTTTTAACTTACGAACTGCAAAAATTAAAATATACTTTAGTATAACAAGAGGGAGTGTAAAATTCTTTTAAAAGGCCGCAATGAAATAGGGATATTATTTCTAGAAGAAGTGTAGGAGAGAGAAATCTAATTGACAGCTCTTATATTTACAAGCGCTGTACGTGTGAAAAAATATTACTATAGCCAATTAGCAAATTTCGCTCCAGTTGAGTTGATTTCTTGGTAGAGTTGCCATGGAGAAGAATTGGCTCAAAAAACTATTTCCCCTCACAATAAACAGAATTGTGATAGGGCTAAGTTTGTCATACTATGATGAGCATTTTTAATTTTTGTTATGAACACAACCTTTACGAGGAGCTTCCTCTTGCTAAAATTCAACACAAGAACAAGGCTAAAATGGCAAAGTGGAGTAGAAAATTTGTTCATAAACTTTCATTTCAAACAGCCTGGATAAAACACACGGCATCCTACTTTGATTCCTGTGCACATCTTTGAAAGCATCGTAAACTGAAAACATGGATTAGGGAAAGCACCGGTTTGATAAAAATTCCTACTGCTTAAATTAATGAAGCGAAAAAAAAAGAAAAAAAAGAGAAGAGTATCACGATAAAAAAATTGGCGGGAGCCTGAGATAAAAGAATTTAAGTCACTTTTCAAACTAGTTATTTTCCTTTTTTGATTACACAATTCAAGAGATCGTTCCAGCTACACTCTGAAGATATAATCAGGGGTCAATAATTTCCTAAAAGGAAAATTTTCTCAGTAATTCACTTTAGAAATTCCGGTCACTTTCAGAGGGTTTCTATCTTCCACAATCACTGAGCACTTGCTCGAAGACTACCTTTTTTGGCCCTTCATCACAAAAAGATCCATTTGCAAAGCACACTTGAGAAATCTGGTGACATTTGAAAAATTTCCACAGTCAGGGAGAAAATTCTGCTACCTTTCCAGATTTCCAACTTTTGGAATCAGGCAATTTGGCTACCCCCTGGACACTCACTTCTCACCCTCCATTCTTTTTTGAGTACGTCTCAACATGATAGAATAAAAACTCTCCGTTGACTGGAGAATTCAACCTAGCATGGGGAAACTTATTCTTCCTACGTCAAAATCAAGAAACTAACTTAGAACAGACCTCTCTATACAGAGATCCAACAGATCTATAATCTATGAGAATAGGAAAGAAACTAAAATGGAGTGGAAATAAGGTCCTGACTCTTTATGAATTATCATTGATGTCCCTCCCCTTTTGAGTCCCTGTGACAATGTGTGGAAAGCTTTCGTTTTTTGAGGGGGTTGTCGAAGGCTTAGCTGTTTTGACAGAATTCACTTCGACTGACTTCTCTAGGTGACTGGAAAGTTTAACTACTTCATTCTCAGTTTTATGGAGAGGATCCAAATTATCCAATCCGGCAGGTAAGTCTGTGACCACTTCTGTTTCAATAACTTCCAGATTTTCCGAAGAAGAGACAAAATTGTTCACAAGAGAATCTGGGCGTTTCTTCTTTTCGCTACAAGCTCCTTGGCTTTTTGACTCGTCTCTCCGATGTTTCTTTGATTCATCATACTTCCTGTCCCGTCTTTCTGAATCCTTCTTTTCACCATCTCTCCTCTCAGATTTAGAGCTGTGGTGTCTATGATTATTCGAACTCTTGTCTCGGTGGTGGGCACTCAATCTGTCTTTGTCTCTCTTTGATTCTGAGCTGTGTCTCCGATGCTTGTCCTTGCCATCTCGGTGACGCTGATCTTTCTTGTCACGATCACTGTCTGAACTGCGACGCTTGTCTTTATCACTTTGGTGCTCTTTTCTATCTACATGGCGTTCCTTTTTTTCGCCTTCCGATCCCGAGCTTTTCTTGGAATCTTTGTCCCGCTCTTTATGCTTCCTGTCATCTTTCCTGGATGAATGATCCCTTTCTTTATCCCTATGTTCTTTCTTAGGTGTACTATGGCCACTACTGGAGCAGTGCTTTTTTGGTGTTTGATGATGAATGTCACCATTGACTTTTGGGGATTTCTCGTCTTTCTTCGGCCTATCTTCCAAGTTGGGTTTCTTCCGTTCACAGGTTTCATCTTCGGAGTGTTTTCGCTTCTTGCTTGAAGATTCTAGTCCAGCAGTTTTCTTCAAATTGTTGGCTTCAGGAGCGAGTTCTTTGTACATTTGAGAAGTGATGACTCTTTGGTTCTTAACGCCGTTTGCTTGTGGCTCATCAGGGTAGTACTGCTTCAGGCGCACATGCCATGCTATAAACACAAAAATAAGTAACGATAAAGAGCAACTAAGAACAAAACACTCTGTTTATTAATAACAGCAGAGAAAAAATTTCATTTAACATGGAATTTCTTGTGATAGAGAAATATTTTCCATCATAAACAGGTACGTGTTCGAGTTTACCAATTGAAAGAAAAAAAAGAAAAAAAACAGTAACACTTTAATAAAATAAAGCTTATTTAAATCGCGGATAATATGATAACGCAATTTATTGCTTTAATCATATAATCATACTTGATTTTTATCAAATTGTCTGAAAATTTTCTTCTTTCTGTAAACCATCAAAAATTACTTTCAAATAATATTGACAACTTTTTTAAAAACTAAGAACTACTTAAGGATGCAATGTGCTTCTTGCTTTTCTTGGTATTATGGGAATGATAGGGAACTCAGAATGCTTGGGACATTAAGGCACAGAGTACTTGGTTTTAACAATCATTACTGCCTTGTTTTTCTTCTTGGAACAAAGGAGGAGTTGCGTTTTGGGCCTTTTCCGGCCCCACCTGGATTTTGCTAAATGTTTCATATTTTCAAAGTACTAGTCTTAGGTAGACTCTGTGCCAAATATTAGACCGATCGGAGCCCATGCAAGGGCGCAGCAGCGCCTCAAACCCAAAATCCTGGAATCGAAAAACAATTATTTTCGTCGACTTTTTCGACTGTTATCACTCTTCCAGCACGTGATTCTTATGTATTTTTTTGCGTACTTTTCGTTTCTGGCCTTTTTAAAGGCCTCCGATAAATTTTAAGGGGCCTTATGGCCCATTGTTGCCATTTTTGGCCCATTTTTAGGGGTTTTTTCCATTTAACACATTCAAAACTCAATTTAATCCAAAAACTGTGTACATTTTTGAAAAGTACGTAAAAAAATGAATAAAAAATGTTCAGCAACATTTTTTCCCATGTTGCCAAATTTCCGAGAAAATTGGTCCCAAAGTGTCAAAAACGGCAAAAAATCGATAAATCGCCGCGTCTAAGGTTCAAGAAAGTGAAGTACATTTTTCATACTGTACCAGATAACAGCTCTTATCCATCCATACAACATACTAAAATATCATAGTTGTACCTGGATTCCCACGATGTGAAAATTGACCGAGATGTCGATTTTAGCGGCCTTTTTAAACTTGAAGGCAGCTCTTTTGAATGTTTTTCGACCTTAGTCACCCTCTATGGGTGTGTACTGTATGTATTTTTCTACGTACTTTTCATATCTGGCCATAAAAATGGCTTCCTGTGAATTTTAAAAGGCCTAACGGTCCATTGTTGCCAATTTTCACCAATTTTTAGGGGTTTTTTCAAGTTTACGTGTGTGAAACTTAATTTAATCTAGAAACCGTGTACAATTTCGGAAAGAACGTAAAAAAATACATAGGAATGTGATTTGTACCTTTTCCCTACGTTGCCAAATTTTCGAGAAAAATCGTCCTGAAGCGTCAAAAATGCCAAAAATTGGATTAATCATCACGTCCGAGGTTCCAGGAAGTGAATTATGACATTCATGTGGATCGTGGGACACTTTCTCCACGCATTTTCTGTTCTTCGGTATATTTGGCCTGTAGCAAGCATCTTGAGAACCAAGGATTATCTCGAGGTTACAGGAATAAAGAGGTGAACTGGAGTGAAGGATAAAGTAAAAGCACATTGAGGGCCCGTTTTGTCACGTTCATCTACGCCATTACATGATCCTTGAGATGCATTGCAATTTTCCATTTTCGATACGTTATTTGTAGTGAAAAAAAAAACTTGAAATTCACTTCCTGGAACCTCGGACGTGATGATTAATCCAATTTTTGGCATTTTTGACGCTTCAGGACGATTTTTCTCGAAAATTTGGCAACGTAGGGAAAAGGTACAAATCACATTCCTATGTATTTTTTTACGTTCTTTCCGAAATTGTACACGGTTTCTAGATTAAATTAAGTTTCACACACGTAAACTTGAAAAAACCCCTAAAAATTGGTGAAAATTGGCAACAATGGACCGTTAGGCCTTTTAAAATTCACAGGAAGCCATTTTTATGGCCAGATATGAAAAGTACGTAGAAAAATACATACAGTACACACCCATAGAGGGTGACTAAGGTCGAAAAACATTCAAAAGAGCTGCCTTCAAGTTTAAAAAGGCCGCTAAAATCGACATCTCGGTCAATTTTCACATCGTGGGAATCCAGGTACAACTATGATATTTTAGTATGTTGTATGGATGGATAAGAGCTGTTATCTGGTACAGTATGAAAAATGTACTTCACTTTCTTGAACCTTAGACGCGGCGATTTATCGATTTTTTGCCGTTTTTGACACTTTGGGACCAATTTTCTCGGAAATTTGGCAACATGGGAAAAAATGTTGCTGAACATTTTTTATTCATTTTTTTACGTACTTTTCAAAAATGTACACAGTTTTTGGATTAAATTGAGTTTTGAATGTGTTAAATGGAAAAAACCCCTAAAAATGGGCCAAAAATGGCAACAATGGGCCATAAGGCCCCTTAAAATTTATCGGAGGCCTTTAAAAAGGCCAGAAACGAAAAGTACGCAAAAAAATACATAAGAATCACGTGCTGGAAGAGTGATAACAGTCGAAAAAGTCGACGAAAATAATTGTTTTTCGATTCCAGGATTTTGGGTTTGAGGCGCTGCTGCGCCCTTGCATGAGCTCCGATCGGTCTAATATTTGGCACAGAGTCTACCTAAGACTAGTACTTTGAAAATATGAAACATTTAGCAAAATCCAGGTGGGGCCGGAAAAGGCCCAAAACGCAACTCCTCCTTTTCTGTCAAAGTTATCACTTTCCACTTTTAATTAGGATTAATTTTGTAATGAGCAGCTTTATTTAAATATGCAGGGACTGATGCAGAAGGTTTTGGGCCTTTCAATTTTTCAAAATGGCCTTCTCATTGTACCAACTCCTTGTTCATCGAATATTTCAAAGTAATGACCTTTCAATGGCTCTAAGCATGTATGTTTATTGCTGCAATTTTTCAAAAAGAAAAAAACTACCTGATTTTTACCTTGAATATGCAAAAAAAATGCGATTTAGCCACTTTCAGAGCCTCTCTATTATCATACTCAAATAATCAAAAGCAGCCTATGGTCAAGATGTTTTTGCATCCCTGTAAGTATGTACATTTACCATTGCAAAGCCGCGGATCATTAGTAATTTCTGTTGGAACAAATTTTTCACTTTGAGTGGGCTCCAATTTATGCACTGTATTGAGATGATTACGTAAATTTTGATTAATTACCAGTTTTGTTGTAGATTTGATGATGGCTCTAAAAATTCTGCGATTTGAAACTTTCTGGACTCTTGCTTGAGTGATCAAAAAAAGTTGTGTGGTGATCCCACCAACACTAACTTTTCACACAGAAAATAAAAATAAAAATGGCACCCCTTGATCCCATGAGCCTAGAGAGGTTTGCTCATAAACTACATGATGAAGATTCAACTTTATGTAAGATCATTGAAGGGAACTCACCAATGCTTGTTACGGCAGAAACTGTGCGGAATTGATGAATGATATTTCGAGGCAAAAAGTATATGTCATTATCATGCAAATTGATTCTGGCATACTTGATACCCTCGCGCCGCAGTTGATTCAGTTTTGCATCTTCAATCCATTGCACACACTGCATAAATTCAACACACGATTAAAGGATATTCTTGAACTCAATCAATTCACATATTAAATAACAAACATCCCGTGACTGGGCTGCTGAGAATAACATGAACCTCAAAAGTTGGTTTCGTTTTGGCAAGACTCGTCATGAACGGTGTCTGATGACTTTACTTTTTTTTTAGACAAGCAATTTTCACAAGTAACACACTGCACTCAAGTTTTTTTCTTCTTGATGATGATTTGAAAACACTATATTTGATGAGCGGCCCCCTAAGTTCTAAAAAACAAAAACAAAATGTAGGAGGCTAACCTCACCATTTGCTTCTGTTGTCAAAAATATGGGGAAACAAAAAAACAAAAAAAATTAAAAGGAGAAGAAAAAATTCAAGGTTTTCCTTAAACACGTGTAACCACTCATGGGAAAAGGGACCTTGTAGTTCCAAGGTTAATCTTACCAGAAGAGCGATTCCCATTGCGGTGAGTTAAATATTAAAAATTTGAGTTTTCAATTGACGCTTATTATTATCAATAAGATCAAGATGTGGAATTAATTAATTTTTGCCCAGAAAGGATACAGTTACAGTTTAATCTTAAAATGGGTCAGTGGCACCCATTTTTTTTAAATTTACTTGATGAAAGTGAGGGGTGAACTGAGCTTCTGGGAATTTTTTGCAGATATTTTAAAATCCTAAAAGGCAAAGAAAAACCCCCTTTTGAAAATGGCAAAAATGAGACCAGTTTAAAATGATATATTTGGTAGGCTCTGATGGCGTAGCCAAGCCTGTCAAAGTGATGTGCATGGAGCAGAGTTTTTTTGATAACTATCTAAAAATTGACATGACACACCTATACTAAAGTTCCTTTTTCTGTTAACGGCTACGATTTTTTAAAATATTGCTCAACTATTTCATTTTTTAAGAACCTTAAAATTAACTTAATTTAACTATGTTTGACTCACCTGTGATATTGGAGGTTCGTGAAGATCAAGTTGAAGTTTTTCAACAAGCTCATTGAAGTCGGCAGCATTGAACGCAACAACATCTTTGGTTATTCGATTGTATTCATAAGGTTCTCCACCATGAATTGCTTTCAGAACTCCTGAAAATTCAAATGCAAATGAATCATCGTTTTAAGCTCTTTCCTGTATTTTTCTAGTAATATCTTAAACAATTATTGATTGAAAAAAACAAAAAAGAAGACGAGACCAAGTTCTCTAGACTGGGGTAATTTTGAAAAAATAATTTAACACTTAGCACATCTCAAAGTTTGGAAGACTGAATATGAAGATTTCACGCGACTACCCCATTCTGGACTGATAAGTTTTCAGCGCTTAAATTTGAGTGCTTTACATATTAGACACAAATAATAAAACAAGAAAATGCTGAGTTAAACTCACCAACTGCTGCTGTTGTTTGCCGATCTAAGCCATGACCCACATGATCAGCATGAGCTCGTGTTCTATCCTCGAACATGTATTCTCTAGCTTCAGACAGCCGCGGTAAATACTGTAAGTTCCGTAATTCATTTATACCCGTTCTGAAAAAATTGGAATTCCATCAAGATTTAGGTTTGGTTTTTTACGTGCATTTTGGTCTTAGTAAAGAAATTAGGTGGCACTGGTCAATTCTTTCATGAAACCCCTTATTTGTACAACATGCAGGGTGTCTACTAGTACCTTGTCATAAAGCACCATTCATCGTCATTTAAATTTTTTGCTTTCTCTATAACTTCTTTCTACCTCTATCTTCTTTGCCCCTTAGCTTACACGCATTTTTAACTCAGGGCAGGACAGTATTTTTTTCTCAGACCAGCAAGTGGATTCTTTTCAAAATTTAACACACATAGTTTACTTTGGTGCTTCCAATGATCCTCAATGTTTAGCAAAGAAAACATACTATGTAATAGCTACGATATTTATTTATTCATTTCAAATACAATTTTTAATTTTAGTATTTAATTATTAATTTCTGTAGGATTTTATTTTTTATTTTTTTTTAGTTTTTTTATTATTATTTTTTTTTTTCTTTTTTTTGTGAACATTGAGGCAATTACTTAAAGCTCATCATGTAAATCCTGCATATCCATACCTTTTCCTCAAAAATCCTTGCATTTTCTGCACTGCTATGTGGACTTGTCAAAATTCGCGCTTTTTCAGTGTATTCATACTTTTTTGTACAGTGGACACTCTGAATACGGTAATCAATGTATTTGAAGTAGGAGGAGAAAGAAATACTTCTGAAAGAAAAAACTAAAATTTTTTTAAGTATTTTCTAGGGTGCTTGTTGTGTCTGGTGGAAAACAAAGAACTTACTGATGCTACACAAAAAAAAAAAAAATCAAGATTTTGGGTGTTGTTGCTTCCTATTGCACTGATCGCTCACCAAGTGCACAAAGCATTGTTCACAATCAGGGGAAAAACCACGCAAGGACATACAAAAACTCCATAAAATAGACTTACCTTCTCCTTTTCATTGGAGATTTATTCATATCAGCAGTAGGAACTAGTTGTTCGCCAGGCCTAATCCATAGAATTGGACCGTCGTTAGATTCTTGAGGGGTCTCCATAGTAACAGCTGACAGAGATCCCCAAGGCATTGTCTGAAAAGAGAAAAAAAAAACCAAAAATTAAATAAAAACCAAACAAGATTCTACATGAAGATGTCTTCTTTTAACTTTGTAAATCTCTGCTCATGTTCCATTTTTCAAAGAAAAGCTAACCAACTCTATCAAAATTAACTTTGTATTTTTTTACTCCTTCAAAAAAAAAAGACTTAAAACTTGCAAGAAAACGTTTTGATTAGTTTCTTTGAAGAAAATAAAACAGGCTTACAGATTTTTAAAGTCCTCTCCGACTACAAAGGAAATCAAATATTACAACCTTGAAGGGACTGGCCTTTTTTGGTCGCTATAGCCGATAGTTGTTATAACAGATAGTTACATCTGTACGCATACATCTCAAATAGAATGGAAAGAGTAAAGCTGTGCTGGTGCTAGGGTATGAAGATGAGGTTCCCTAATTTGTAGGAGAAGAAACACCACTATTTTTAACACTATATTTTAATTTTGAGTTATGAACATGAAAAAACACCCCTGTTTAATTCAAATAAAAAGAACTACTAACTAAAAACGGAGTAATCAGTAATTTTCTTTTGCTCAAATGATGTGTTTATGTCAGCCTTCTGTAGCGATCAATGTGTGGAATTAAGTGAGTTCATAATATTCAAATTGGTCCACTCTTCATGGAGCAACAAAAACTTTTACACAGTTTGGAAAGCCTTTAAAGCCTTTGGACAAGAAATCTACTCTACATCAGCCTCTAAGATGCTATCTACATCAGTTTCACCTACAAGCACCTCTATGACAATTTGCTCGTCCGTTGCATCTGCATAAGTTACGATGGCCTCCTGAGCGATGCTCAGGTCATTGTAGTCAATAAGTTTTAATTTACACATAATAGTTAAGTGTGATAGTGCTCTTTCTACTCCCAATTTTTTAGTTATGCTCCTTGCGCTAAAGTTCTAAACTCCTATCTAAAAGGTTGACTTGATGAAGAGTAAAAGTGGTCTTTTGAAGAAGCTTCTACAATCGAAATAATGATCTTACCATATCTAAAAATTCATTTTGTTCGAGTCTATTTAAGAGATCAGGGAAATATCCTCCTACTTCCTCATAAACTGTTCCAACCAGGCTTACTTGATGTAGAGGACCATACCGAACAGTGCCGTTTGCATAGTTCTTCACAACCTGGGAGAAAAAATGACAAGAAAAATTGTTGAAAAGAGCCCAAAACGGTCACATACGTTTTCATCTCATTGACATGACGGCTAAAAAATTATACCAAAACATTCCTCAGCCAAAGGCCTGAATCAAGTCAAACAAACTGAGAAAAAAATCGGTACCGAAGGGGAATTTTATTAAATAGTATAAAAAATATTTTAAGAGATTGTTTCCTTTTTTCAAATTTTTCCAGCATACGGATACTCTTACGAATCTGATAATAAAAAAATCCCTTCCTGTATATTGCTTTTTCTTCACATCCCCAAAAATTCCTTCGAAATTTGCATGCTTTAGAGGCAAGATTTACAAAATTTAGTGCAGAAATTTTGTGTGTCCGCACTTCCGCACCTTTCCACAAATATTCATATGTTTTCCAATATGTTGTACCAATTTTAAAAATCTATTTTATTTTTAAAGCAGGGAGTCCCTGCTGTGAGCATCCTGTAGATGCCAAAACTTCACAGGGAATTTTCATGAGCTTTGAATAAAAAGGGGGGGGGAATTTATCATGGTTATTCAGAATTTCCTCTTATTCCGAACAAGGGCCCCTGCAGACAGATTAAAGCAAAAGTTTTGGCGAAGTATAGAAATAGAGAGCGCATAGAACAAACCTGTTTAATTACAATTTACACTTTTTTGCAACTTGGTGCAACCGTGAAAAACAGTAATTTCATGAGCATAATAATATTGTATAATTGATGAAATATTGCCTAAAAGCATTTGGCTTTGAGCAATTTTCAAGACCTAAAACGGTTTGAATCAAACTTTACATCTGATCATAACAACAGCAGATGATTAGATTACGTATCATACATCAGATTTACCTGTTCTCGGTATTGGGCCATGGATGTTGTCTCTATGTCTGAGTTTCGACCAAGGACACTGTTCTTCACAACCAAAGACGGATAGTGATCGGCCATATAATCCAAGAGATCTGGTAAGTAGCGAGCAGCGTTATGAACGATACCCATGACGTGATGAGAGTAACCATCTTTATTTTCTCCGAAAACAACCTGCAAACAATATGGGACAAAACATAAAATTAACTGTCACCAGAAAGAGACTAACTCATATCAATGATAACCCTGTTTTATTTTTTTTGGTAAGTAGCACAGTAACGTTCCAGTCAAGTTGCTACTAACTTTAATTTCACGGCCTCACAATTTTAGGGTATGTATTTAGATGAATTCAATATATACATATACATGTATATAAAAAATTGTTGCAAATGAGATTAGTCTCAGGGTGTACTTTGCAAAAAGAAATGGAGCACTGAAGTAGATTTACAGACTCGGCTGGATAAAATTCCATGTTTTTCAAGTTTTCTGACCAAAATAATCCAAATTCCATTACTTTTCTTGACGCTTTTTATGAGTGAAACAGAAAATGAAAAATGTTTGGTATCGATTTCACAGCAAATGCCAAAAATATGTGGACCTTTTTCACTTCGGGTATAAATCATTAAATGAATTAAGATAGCAATTCCGTCATGAAAATCACTCCTCTACTTACCACTCAAAGTATAACTTGGAGAATTTAACCCTAAACCCGTCTGTAACTCAGTTTGACACCGCTTATGTTTGTTACAGAGTTCAAGTTTCAGGATTTTTCAAAAATCGATATTTTCCCCCTTTCTTTCATTTTTATTTTTCAAAGAATCAAACCCGATACCCAATTTTTCATAAAATTCTCTGACTTTTCCCTGACCTGATGAAATTCCCTGACAACACTCAGTTTTCCAGACTTGCAGACACCTTGCAGTCCTGAAGCACTACTTATTTAAAAATTCCTTTGAGAAAGCTGGAAATATACTTTGATACAGTAGAGAATAAACAGAGTTAAGATTTGACTTCTTACCTTGAAATACTCTTGGGCTAATTCCTTCAGCTCATCCTTGGACAAGGCATCCAAATCTTCTTGATACATATGGATCAGACTCGCTCCACCATTCGGATGAACCTCAATCTGCATAAATCGACTATATTTAAGTTGGGCAAATTCATGACTTTGATGTAGCACCGGTTGAAACCTCGGTACAAAACAACTTTCGGAAGGAACTTTGCTTGTGACTGCATCCAGTTTTCTTACATACTTATCAACAGTTTTGTCTCTTCGACACTGGACACCTATGTTGCAGCGCTTAGTTTTCGACCTATTGTAACACTTGACGCACTTGTGTCGGTCGCTCCTTGAGTCTGACCTATGGTGGTTCCGGGATTTTTCATTCTCACTTTTACTTCGGTGAACTGAGTGCGAGGTTCGGTTGACTTCTTTCAGAACTCCTGATGATGTGTACGTCTGACTGGCCGATTCTGCAATTTCCTCTGTTTTTTCGAGATCTCCATTGAAGGTTTTGTGATTGAGTTTCTTTTCACGAACAGGAGCATTGCTGTCACTTATAACCAACTTTTCGGGCCGGTCGAGAACTAGCTTCTTTTTTACACTTTTGATGTCTGGTTTTGAAGTATCAGAAACTTCCTCTTTGATGAGATGCTCGCTGTGTCCATTTACCGATAGGTGGCATGATTCCAGGAGGCTGGCTTTCGCGTCGCCTATAAGAGCCTGATGCGCATCCAGATGCGCAACACCATTCATTGCTACATCATTGACACCATTGACCAGAACATCCTCCGTTACACACGTTATTTCTTCAGCAATGATTCCATTTCCCAAGGCATCACTTGCATTTAACACTTCAATTTCTGTAATGCTGAGAGCCTCCGACTTGATTTTGATACCATGTTCCTCGGTTTGCTTTTCAGCTTTGATTGGAAACTCTGTCCTTTGAGGTGATCCAATTTCCTCTTTTTTAATTTTCTCATCATCCTGAAACAGAATAACATGAATCAAAAATTAAAATGATGTGGAATGAGGGTAACTCACAAAGTCAGTGTCTTAGCCATGCCTACATGGAATGACCTTTTGTAGGGGCATGTTACCCTTACAAAGGAAAAGACTACTCCCAGGGAAAAACTTTAGTTAATATAGTTGGTGTGTATCTGTGATTAGCCATAAAAATTAATCCAAAATGTTTCAAGTTTCTAAAACTGTGCATGCCAAGACAGATAGCAAACTTTTCTGTGTTTTTCTCTAAATTCAGTTTTCTTGAAACTTTGGAGAACTCCTCTTCCATTTCTCTCTATTTTTTTCACTAAGTTTTAGATGTTTTAAGTTTCATTTTGTTAAAGCTTTTTTACACTTCATACAAAGACATTGAATCACGAAGGCGAGGCAACTTTTAAAAATTCGCATGTGATGAGTGGTGGCACCGACCCGCATCGATGAGTTCTTGTGTCCCAGTTGCGCACATCTGCGCATGCGCAGTAGCGTCTCTTGGCGGCTCCAGTGAATTTTCGTCGGATTGTGAGGTTTTTTTCCTCAGTTAATAATTAGTTCGGAACAATGAAACAATGCTAATCGGGTGTAAAATTATGTGTTCTCTAACTTTTCTTCTTAGGAATTTTGTCTGAAAATGGACTCTAAACGAGATATTCGTGAAAAACCGAGCAAGGGCATGAATTCTCCATTGCCTCTTCGAGTGCTTGGGACACACGCTCTCTCCCCTTCCCCGCCCGCCCATCATGGGGCTCCGAGAGACTTGCCTCGCTCCGCCAGTACTAAACCGAGCAGAACGCACGGTCTACGTGATTCAATGTCTTCGACTTCATAGCATTTGGAGTAAGATATCATTTTCGTCAAACTTTATTGTGATTTACGATTTGGTGTTCCATCACAGGCATTCAATTTTTTTGTTACCAACGGACTTTCAAGACTTACAAACCACATTGCCCTGTAAAACTTTCCAGCTTTAGACATATAAAAGAGCATTGCAAACTTTTTTTATTCAAATATGTACTTAATTTAGATACTAAAAAAATTTCGTGTGTGCTGCTCACCATATCAAAAGGTTTTATGCTGACTTAAAAAAGACTGAAATTCGCATCTCCCATTGGAACAATCACCGGAGCGAACAGATCTGTAAAACAATAAGAAAAATATAGATGAGCTATGGTGAAGTTACTGGCAAAGGTTTTGATACCTAGTAAAATAATAATTGTAATTTCTTGGCTTTGTTTCCCCGCGAAATTGTGTGGACCCAGCACCATTTCTCCACCTTGTAAAATAATAAATACCATTATACGATAAATGACTTTTGACTGAGGGTGATAGAGAATATATTAACTTGTTGAATTGAATGAATTCAGACACCTAAGGCGACCCAATTCAACACTCAAATCAACCACCCCAACGCCCTCCCCCCCCCCATTCGAAACCCACTTCAATTTGGCAACAGCAGATGTGACTTGGTTCCTTTCTGCTTACCACGGTCCATTTTACCACCTTGTTGTTACATTGACCTACAAATATACAAGCACTTCCAATACGCATCTTTGGGTGAAAATTATACAATACCAACTCAACATGCATTAGAAGAAGATAGATCATAGGGAGGTCTAACTATCATCAGTAACTCTTCAATGCTGGTTGAATTCAGATACAAAAAAAGCGCTGTCATCCTTTAAAAAATTGAAAATCGCGGCTATCATTTGAGTCATTAATTTGAGAGGGTTGCATAGGCTCCATTATTTATGGCACGTTTTTTACTTTCTTTGATCAACATGGAAAATATTTCCATGGGCGCGAAAAAATCCTTGGAAATCAGAACTCAAAGTCTTGAGCTGCAGATTCTCAAACGGGGAAGCTGGCATGGGATCACAGATCTTTCGTTCTTTTCGCACCAATTGCATTGACTCCATTCCAACTTTCGGGCTGCAGATACTCAGCCAGAGGAGCGCCGGTTTTTTCTCTTTAAAATCGCGTTCGATAAAATTAACTTGTTCGATAATGCTGCAAAAAGTCGCAGTCGATGTAATCGCGATTATATAGCAAATTTATGCGATAAAATTGAAATTTATCGAGCATTTTCATCCGATTATAGTGCAATAAATTAACGAAGAGAAATTCGCGATAAATTCTCCGATCAAATCGCAACTCGTCGCGATCACTGCTATTTGGGTACTTACTTATACTAAAGTTGAAAATTGCGCGCTTTGGTGTGTGCACAACCCGCTTTGATCAGGTTCGATTGATAAAACATTATCATATCAATTTCAGTGAGCATTAAAATAATACGAGATTTTCTCCAGTAGTTTTTTAGTTAGTTAAGGAAACTTAAAAAAATACGAAATCACCTCAATACGGCAATACGTGATTTTGTCAAGCATTCTGAAAAAAACATGAGAAATCACTTGAATTCAATGGCTAAAGTGTGAAACAACGTATCTCCATCGCGGTGTTCCAAAATCTCCGCTCTTAATTTACTTTTTCGAAGGGGGACAATGGGGCACGTCAACTTTATCGCTTGAAACTCATACGAAATATTCCACTGACAGCTAAAAGAAAAATTATGGAAGTTTCCAAGAAATTACGTTGACCGGATTTCCTAAAAGAAAAAAAATGAAGTATATCTGGAAGTCTATACAACATCGCAAACGGAGAAACGTAGCCGCGAACTTTAGCAATTCACATGTAACAACTATTCCACCACGGGTGTGAGCATGTTGCTGCCAGCCGGATTGAAGGCGCGCCATACTCCAGCAATTTCTCGGGTCCCGTCCCGTGCGATCTCCTTGGCTGGCGCGCCGCTAAAATCGCCGCAAAGGGAGGACTGCACGTCATTATCCTTGACTCTCTGTCCCGTTTTTACCACAATTTGAGTGAAAGTGTATCCCTGAATTGTAACGATTCAGAATCTCAGATCGGGTTTATTAAATTCATTTCTTTCAAAATGAGGTATGAAACGAGCGAAAATATTGCGTCAAACTCTCCGGCGACCGAAGGAAATCCGCGGAAACTCTTTAGAAAAACTGAATTTGCCTTTCGTAACAAGAATGATTAAAAATAAGACATTACTTGAGGTCTGCAACGTTGCAGTCGGAGCTAAATACGCTCTCTTACGCGTGCAGGAATGGATATTTGAACTCATTCACGGCAGGCGCAGTGATACGACTTTTCGACCACGGGTGTAAGCATGTTGCTGCCAGCCGGATTGAAGGCGCGCCATACTCCAGCAATTACTCGGTTCCCGTCCCGTGCGATCTCCCTGGCTGGCGCGCCGCTAAAATCGCCGCAAAGGGAGGGCTGCACGTCATTATCCTTGACTCTCTGTCCCGTTTTTACCACAATGGGCCTGTTGCATGCAAGAGATACAACCGCGCGAATAGACTTTTTAGAGGTTAAATGACACGGAAAGTAAGATGGTCACATTAAAAAAGTCTGAAATACACTCCTTACTGCGCAATTTGCGTTGTCAGGAACGCGCTTTTTTAAATTTCCCGCGTCTGGGGGCAGTTTTCTAATCACCGGAAACGAGCAAACGGCGGGCTCGGTGATTTCCGGAAGATGCCGAGTCGTTGTTGTTGTTGTTATTTTTTCCTTCAGTTTGTTCACAAACCCAACGCGATCTCTTATAGTGGTCCATATACGCTTTATGCGGTAACCAAATCGATCAACTTTTAAATATCCAACGCAATCCTTCTACATTTCATTTCACGATATCACGAGCTCCGATTTTTAGGTTATGTTGTCAGTTTTAGTTGACCGGAAATAGTCGCGAGTTGCCGTTAATTGTTTCCGTTAGAAAACTGCCCCCAGACGCGGGAAATATGAAAAAGCGCGTTCTTAACGAAGCAAATTGCGCAGTAAGGAGTGTATTTCAGACAATTTTAATGTGACCATCGTAATTTTCGTGTCATTTAACATCTAAACAGTCTATTCGCGCGGCTGTATCTCTTGCATGCAACAGGCCCATTTGAGTGAAAGTGTATCCCTGAATTGTAACGATTTAGAATCTCGGATCGGGTTTATTAAATTCATTTTTTTCAAAATGAGGTATGAAACGGGCGAAAATATTGCGTCAAAATTTCCGGCGACCGAAGGAAATCCGCGGAAATTCTTTAGAAAAACTGTATTTGCCTTTCGCAACAAGAATGATTAAAAATAAGACATTAGTTGAAGTCTGCAACGTTGCAGTCGGAGCTAAATACGCTCTCTTACGCGTGCAGGAATGGATATTTGAACTCATTCACGGCAGGCGCAGTGATACGACTATTCGACCACGGGTGTAAGCATGTTGCTGCAAGCCGGATTAAAGGCGCGCCACACTCCAGCAATTACTCGGTTCCCGTCCCGTGCGATCTCCCTGGCTGGCGCGCCGCTAAAATCGCCGCAAAGGGAGGACTGCACGTCATTATCCTTGACTCTCTGTCCCGTTTTTACCACAATTTGAGTGAAAGTGTATCCCTGAATTGTAACGATTCAGAATCTCGAATCGGGTTTATTAAATTCATTTTTTTCAAAAGAGGTATGAAACGGGCGAAAATATTGCGTCAAAATTTCCGGCGACCGAAGGAAATCCGCGGAAATTCTTTAGAAAAACTGTATTTGCCTTTCGCAACAAGAATGATTAAAAATAAGACATTAGTTGAAGTCTGCAACGTTGCAGTCGGAGCTAAATACGCTCTCTTACGCGTGCAGGAATGGATATTTGAACTCATTCACGGCAGGCGCAGTGATACGACTATTCGACCACGGGTGTAAGCATGTTGCTGCAAGCCGGATTGAAGGCGCGCCACACTCCAGCAATTACTCGGTTCCCGTCCCGTGCGATCTCCCTGGCTGGCGCGCCGCTAAAATCGCCCCAAAGGGAGGACTGCACGTCATTATCCTTGACTCTCTGTCCCGTTTTTACCACAATTTGAGTGAAAGTGTATCCCTGAATTGTAACGATTTAGAATCGCGGTTAGGGTTTATTAAATTCATTTTTTTCAAAATGAGGTATGAAACGAGCGAAAATATTGCGTCAAAATTTCCGGCGACGGAAGGAAATCCGCGAAAATTCTTTAGAAAAACGGTATTTGCCTTTCGTAACAAGAATGATTAAAAATAAGACATTACTTGAGGTCTGCAACGTTGCAGTCGGAGCTAAATACGCTCTCTTACGCGTGCAGGAATGGATATTTGAACTCATTCACAGCAGGCGCAGTGATACGACTTTTCGACCACGGGTGTAAGCATGTTGCTGCCAGCCGGATTGAAGGCGCGCCACACTCCAGCAGTTACTCGGTTCCCGTCCCGTGCGATCTCCCTGGCTGGCGCGCCGCTAAAATCGCCGCAAAGGGAGGACTGCACGTCATTATCCTTGACTCTCTGTCCCGTTTTTACCACAATTTGAATGAAAGTGTATCCCTGAATTGTAACGATTCAGAATCTCGGATCGGGTTTATTAAATTCATTTTTTTCAAAATGAGGTATGAAACGAGCGAAAATATTGCGTCAAAATTTCCGGCGACGGAAGAAAATCCGATTTTTTTAAACAAAAACACTACACGTACACTGTAAGAAAAATGTGACCATGACCAAAGTCTTGTGTAAAGACAGTCTTTGTGTCGAAAATCAGCGACCTTGTTAACAGGATGTCTACCAGTTATGAGGAACCAAAATTGGGGACTATCGGGAACTTTTAGGGGAGTTTTTTCAAGAAAATCGGAGACTTTTTTCCCAAAATAGTAAGATAAAGGGAGCTAGTATAGAGCTTAGAGCTTCATAGAGGCACCTTCAAAAGGTAGGTATTTAGTGTACTGCCTGATGATGATTCTGTGTAATCGAAAGGCCTTGTAGGAAAAAAATAAACGGAAAAAAAGGTAGCAAGGCTACGTTTTTCTCTTCTTATTAATCCAAGATATAGGTAAGTACACGATTTTTCCAACGTTTTGGTGAAAGCATAAGAAATTGTATGCAATTTTTACCTTCGTGACGCGGCAAATGCGCGATTCTTCGAACAGTTTCGTAAAGTGGTGAGAAATTAAGCGTTTCCTTGTCAATGGTTGGACAAAAACTCGATTTTTCCAGCGATGTAATGAAAACATGAGAAATTACGCGTAATTCACCCAAATATCGCGGCAAATAAACGATTTTTTCAGCGGTTTTGTAAAAACATAGAAAATGATGCGTTCTTCAACTTAATATCGCAGCTAATATGCAATATTTCCAACAGTGTGGTAAAAACATAAAGAAATGAGCATTAGTTTCATCTAAACCTCCATTAAGAGCAAATTTCACAGTCCAGGAATAGGTACGGACAAGTGCTGTTAGGTGAAATAGGTTCACTTCAAGCCAGGGATGCGGAGAGTTCTTAGGCTTCCCCAAAATTTGCTGTTGTGCTATAATTGCGCCTCTGCAAAACACAAAACGATTAACAGCTTCCTTCCCCAAAAGTAGCTTGTTTAAAAGACTTCTAGCATATAAAACAGCACGCTTATAAGTTTCCTTCCCTAAAAAGAGCGTGCTTAAAAGTATCTTTCCCCAAAAGCGGATGCTTGAAAGACTTTCAGCAAATAAAACAACTTGCTTGATAGCTTCCTTCCCCCAAAATCAGCATGCTTGAAAGGCATCTGGCACAGCTGACAGTGCGCTTCATATATTTTTCCCCAAAAACGAAAGGAGGGGGGGTCTTCCCCAATTTTTAAACATGTTTACAGCCTTCCCCAGTTCTCCTGCGAGCGGCCTCGCGATCATGATGATGCGATTTGTGAGGCACCTCCGCTTTAAGTAGGTGGATCTAAAAACACGTCATGTCATTCGGGACTGGGGAGAAAAGAAGATGAACAAATGTCGCATCAAGCTTAACTACATCAATCAACAGTTGGTCTGATGATTTCCATGTGAACTCCTGTTTAATCAATTCCTACTTAGAATTCCTGGCCATTGGAGAATACGTGTGAGAGTGTGTGAGTAATATCTCCCAAGAACAAAGGGAAGCCGCCGGGCTACGTTTGGCGGGTTGCGTACGTTACCCGCTTACCTTCCCTTTTTCCGTATAGTGACATACATTTTATACTTTTTTCCTTAATTTAAAATGTGATTCTGCCGAATAAATTTGTTTCTTTCGATAAAACTTGCCAAAATATTCAACTGAAAATTTCACGCCCAGAATAAATTCACTTTCTCAAGTAAAAAAATCAACTTTTATAAGACCTCTGCTATACGATCCCGTATGTTTTCGGGAGTTACGAACATTTAACCTCAAACCCAAGGCCAGGTATGGGTAGATGGTATTGGTTGAATGTTGCTGCTTTGCAAAGTGACTTTCGTTGCATCTTTGCTTTCCTTACTTCTAGACAGAATCTTATCCAGTCATTGTAAGTTGTATTCATATATTACTTCGGGGGGTGTTTGCTTTGCTCAATCCAGACTGAAAAATATGTTTTTGGTTCTTGCTGGACAGATGTGTGAATACAGTTTTGATTGAACCGTAAGACATTATACCACTTAGTTCCATTGAAACAGGAATATCTTAGAAGGTCACTTCTGGAACTTTTCGGAGCCCTCCCCACAGGAGGGCACATTTAAAATACGAACATTAGTCTGTACGATCATGCCGTAATTGGTTGGATTTTGGGCCGATAAGTAGATGAAATCTACTTTATACTCTTGGCTTTCATTTCCATGCAACGTACACAGGAAGGTATTCTCAGAAGACGGGGACCAATACATAATCCATAATAAAATCCAGGTGGTTAAATACATTCATTATAGTCAGCTAAGAATTTTAGGGAGAAGAGGGGAGGCCCCTTTTACCCTTGATAAATGCTTAGGATACTACTAGTTGAAGGCGACTCTCATGAGATTATCAATGCTCGCTCCTGAGTAGACCCCTCCATGTCATCATTGTTTACATTAACCAACTTCTGTCACCGAAAATAACAGCAGAGTGTCCTCATTACCATTAACTGAATTTACACAGAATAATCAAACAGATATCAGTGCAAAAGTTAACAAAAATGTATCTTAGAGGTGGGTAAAGAGGTGAAGTAAACTTACGTCTGAGTTGCAACAACTTGTGACAGAGTGATAGGTAGGCAAAGGGGTTTGCCGCTTCAGATTACCGAGAGGCGCTGGAAAATTGTGACCAGTGAGATTGTTTCAGTGTTTTAAATTCACGGATAAAGCAACATAAGCACAAACAACATTAATAAGAAGACCAAATGAACTTGGTCAGACCATGAGAACTCAACTCATGACAACAGTCATGTGAATATACTTGGGAATATAATGGCAGTCGGGAATCGCGTAGCCAGCTAAAATCTCTCGTAGTATTGAAAGTTCGGGCGGAGAACTTTATGTGCCACTTGGAGTCAAGAACGCGGGGTATCGTCGGTTAAACACGGGCAATAAAAATAAACACACTATCAACAAAAAGTTCACTCTTGTAGCTGCGCACTTTTATGACGGAAACGAGGATGAAATGACACAGGTAGAATAAATTATTATGACCCGCAGTGGTAAGTTATTGACTCTAATCAACTAGACCACTAATAAACGCACTAAAATGGGAAGAGACAGTAAAATAGAAAAATTTTCGATCGAAACTTTTTGGCGGAAGAGAGCTGTGACGCCATATTTACTCGAACATTTCACACGGAAACACACTGCATGGATCATTACAATAAACCTCCCACAGAAGGAAAGATGCCTTTTGCAGATTTTTTAAATTTAGCTATAGACCTTACTCACTAGGAGCGCTAGCATCGAAGTTTGAGATTCAAGAATTTTAGTTTTAGCGATAACTAAAAAATTAGATAATTTAACTGCTGTAAATTGTTGAATTTTCTATGCAGCTGCAGTAAAGTCAAACTAAACACAATTTCCTACCAATTTAAAATTAAATCAATATAAATGTCATGAAATGGGGAGCAGTGTAACTTATATTCGAAATTTGATACTAGCGCTAAAGCTCCTCTGGTGTTCGTTTTGTAAACTTAATGTCGTCAAAAATAATAGAGATTTCTACCACAAGTTGTCTGTCCTAATGTAACATTTCGTATGCCAAAATCGAACGTCGAACACTTTTTCGCGTTCTTTTCCATTTCCATCCCATCATTTGCATTTCCAACTTGTGTAGATGTGATACATTTCAGATACTGTAACTTAATATTTGCGCTAAAGCAATTTTTGTCATTCAATTTTTGTGAAATCCACAGAAACTATTGTTCCAGTCCATATCTCACGCTTTTCTGATTTCGTGATTGGATTATCTTGAGTTGTGTGCCAAGAAGGACTCTGTTTACCAAGATTGAGGTTGTGCAGCAGTTTTCACCCCACTAACATCAACAGAGGACAGTGCACCGTATTATGATAGCATATGGCTCCCAAAGCTGAGGAAATACTGAGTGGCTTCCAAGTGTATCCTTTTTTTTACACCCAATTTGCTGCAAGAAACCAAGCAGTTTGCGGCTTGATATTAGACAAGTAGTTTTTTTCTTTTTTCCTAACCCGATTCTAGTCAGGTGTAAGTAGGTTGCAATTTTTCCTTCCAATGATAACGGTCATGAATTCTTTGAAATTATGATCCAATGTGGGACCACCTTTTTGACACCAGAATATCAAACCCTCGTCAGCTTGTCCAAATTTTTTCCAAAAATATCAATACGTCAAACTTGTGGAAGCGACTCCCGGATTGCAGTAGCTGAAGATCTTTTAAAACATGGGTCATCAAAAACTCCAATACGCACCTCTTCTGAAGATGCCATGGCCCAGCTCCCCCACACTATAAATCAAGCTGTCAGTGCATGTGATAAAAGGTTCCGACTTGCCATTCCAGAAATGTCTCAGTTTTGCTGCCGTCTGGGAAGAACGCCTACAATTATCTGGAGTTTTCAAAGATGAGTTCTTCTGATTTTTGTATGTTAGAGCTTTTGTTTGATAAGTTGGCAGTTGCTACCGCCTGAGTAAAAGCAACTACGCTGCTGTACTCCTGCATCAACCATGGTTGGCAAAAGTGCTGTGCTTCAATTCTCAAAACGATGCACTGCATGTGACAGTCTAAAGTAACTAAGTAACTGCTAACTCAATCTGAGGCATGTTCTACTTTGTCAAAGTTTCCATTTTTAATGCACCTAAGTGAGGAGACATTCAAGGCACCAGTGTCGCAGGAGCCACTCTCACATGTACATGAAGACATGTCTTCAATGAGAGCTGCAAGCAGTGTCTTTGATGGCATTTGCTTCTATTGCTCCCCAATGAGCGAAGAGAAAAAGGCTCCATTCTATGCACCATTTGCAATTGAGCAATAAAGAATAATTTCATGTGGTTGCTTGTGTTAAAATAGCAAGGAAACCAGCATGCACCAAAAAAATTTTGGGGCTCCTTCAAATTATGCTTGATTTTGTGTCAGATAAGTCAGTAGTCGTTTAGCTAGTGAGCAACCATGCTGCTGCTGTCCAGTAGCAATTGAGGATTGACTGAGTGCAATGACGACGCTGTGCTGCTGTTGTGTGTTGGTGCCAAAGAAAAATACCTTCCTCCAAGGAGATATTGCTCAATTTGCGCAGTTTGTGACCAAAATAAATAATTGCCAACTTATCTCACACGACTTCAATGGTTTTTAGTGAGTTCAACTCGTGTAATATATCGATTTTCGATTCTTGTCGTGCTGGCATAAATTTCAATAATCAGGCTGCTGAGGAAAGGAGTCCAAATTTTTACCTGTCTCCTCAAATGCTGCGAGGGTTAAAGTTTACGCATTACTTTTAGAGTTTTCAGCATTTTTAAGAATAACTAGGCACTATTTGACAAAACATTTCTCTAGAGGTTGCAGTATCATACTACAGCCCAAGTGTCGCTACGAAGGTTGGTGCTTCAAAAATAAAGGAAACAATTTGCTCGGTCGAGTGTCACGTTGCGAAAAGCAGATGTTCCTGTCAGGCTCAAAATAACTCAACGTATGTGCATAAAGTACTTGGACATTGTCTCTATTCCAGTGGTATTCAAAGCCTTAATTGTTCTTTCAGTAATTGGATGAATCTCCGAGATGCCGACACTGGTAAAATTTTATGGCAAGGCAACGAAGATTTGTAAGTGCTCAAATTTTACTCATATTGTATTTGATCGCAATGATTATGTATGCATGAATTCTTGCATAAAAATAAAACTCTCTTGGAATAATTTGCTATTCAAATTAACCCGAGCACTGTCTCAGTGCTCAGTGCCACGACCACTACGCACAGGAGACTGACTAAAGGAGGATTTTGAGGCTGATAAATGGAGACATGTGGATCATTTTTTTGTTTTTGAAAAAAAGAGGAACCCACATGCATGTTGCCATGCTTCTCTTAAATTACTCTGATAAGAGTCTGAACGGGGATACTGAAAATTTTGGATTTTTAATTTGGCTTGGCAATAGTATACCTAAAAAGTTAAGTTTAAACTTAGTGTTTCAAAGAAACTAGTTATTCGCATATTTCAACGTTCAAACCCTTGAAAATGATTTCAGATCAGTTCCAGACAAAGAACACGAGGCCAGGGTGCCAAAGAAAATCTTGAAGTGCAGAGCGGTCTCCAGAGAGATTAACTTCTCATCAATTGAGCCAATGGAGAAACTGAGACTCCAGCAGAAGCTCTTATTTAAAGTATGTAATTGTTCCTTCTTTCACTCATTAGTTACCACCTTTGGACAAAGAGATCTGAGCTCTTGGAGGCAAATTTTCCAACAGAACAATTTTTATTGTGGTGGATACAAATATTGAAGTTTGAGGATTTGACAAAAACAATAGCTACTATGCTAAAGAATAAGTTATAACCAGTTAATTTCATTTTTGCACCAATTGAAGGTGACGCTTTGTAACCTGACCGGTTTAATCTTTTCTAACAGCAGATGTAAGAACTACATTACATTGCTTACATCGCCAGTGTAGGGTTTCCAAATTATATTACCTCTGCTTGTAGGAATTTGTACCTAAAATGTAGCTCTTTCCCTGACTGTAGGACTTTTTGAGTAGCTATACTTGGAATTCTTCATTTTACAGGGCCGCTGTTTGGAGGAGTGGTATTTTGAGTTTGGATTTGTCATCCCGAACTCAACCAATACCTGGCAATCACTAATTGAAGCTGCACCTGAATCTCAAATGATGCCTGCCAACGTCCTGAAGTAAGAATCTATCATTCTTACTCTTTAAAAAGAACATATTTAAGCTCTAAGAATTGACAACCATAGAGGAAATATAGAAAAAGGTGGCAAGTGGAGGAATGAACATTTCCACCTCACAGTAAGCAAGCGCAGGTCTATTGGAAATCCTGACAAAGTTGGGTCATGTTGACGCTTGTGGCAGATTTTCTTCTTCGCTAAAGTCTCACTCTTTTTAGCTGATAGGCCGATTCACCTTCATGCGTACGTTTCGACTGAATCTCAAGTTGGCAGCCATGCCACCACCTTCTGTATTTTCTCGATGATTGACATAACAGAACATAGGGTTAAGTGAAATGACTTCAAACGGACCAATTATGAGAAATCGCTCTCAACAACTGAAGCCATCTCTCTTAGCATGACAACTGTCTCTATTGCTCACATTGACTCCCATAAGCAAAAATTGTTGTCCACTCCTATCCTATACCATTGAAAATTCCAAGTTTTCTTTCGGTTCGTACGTTTTAGAAATATGCTGCCGTAACTTTTAAGTGTCACCATCAATTATATCTATCATACTGAAAGAATAATTGCAAATTTTAGAGTCAGATTTCACCTGTACAATATGATGGATTTTTTTGTTTTGAATTAACGCCAAAGATAAACCTCATAATTCCTTTGATTTCTATGGATGAATCTATTATGTAGCTATGTATTCTTAAGGCTCTCAGAAAAAACTCGCACAGAAGTCATTGTCAGTTCTTATGACAGGGACGCATATGATCTAAAAACTCATTGATTCCATTAATTATGTCAGGAAAGGAATCTAAGACTTAGAATCAGCCACTCACCAGAGAGGGAGATTTTCAGTTCATCTAGCCATTTTTCCATAGGATATTTTTCATGGATTTAAATGGGGAAAAGTGCTGATCACTATCTCACAAGAATAGATCCGCAAGTGGTAGCAATACCTCGGGTTGCAGAGAAAACTTCAGGAGTGCAGGGTGTCTGTGTCTACCGGTACTCTGCCGTCAAAATTTCCTGTGTTTTCGGTGCCTTTTCCTTGCTTTTTCTTTACTTTCCCGAAATTTTTTTTTTGTGACAATCTTCATAAATCCGTGCTTTATCCTTACTCTTACTTTACTATTTCCTTACCTTACACGCATTTTTAACTGTAACAGATTGGGAAAGTGGAATGATGGAATGACAAAGGAATAAACCAAAAAAATGCAAAGAATTGAACCGGGGTTTTGATAAATGAATTTTGTCAGGAAATTACATATTCCCAGGACTTGTTTTAGAGTTCATCACAAAAATCTCGAATTTCCGTACCTTCCCACGAAAAATCCACACCTTTTCCATACTTCCTTACCAAACTTCCGTAATCCGTGCTTTTTCAGTGTATCTGTACTTTTTCCGCACAGTAGACACCCTGAAGTGATGACTATTTTTTCGCCCATTCTCTTGAAAAAATTGGGCAAATTAGAATTTTTGCTACAAATCCAGGCGTTTTCCCTAAGATTGGACATTTTTTCCGAAGGCAAAAATATTGTATCGCAAGAAGCGGACAACATTTGGAATTTTGTGCATTCCTTTTGTTCAGGTTTCTTCGTATTCTTATTTCTTCTTTTGTATGTTTTCAGTGGAAATGTTGTCATTGAGACGCACTTTTATGATGATGACCTCCTCATATCTTCCTCCAGGGTTCGCCTTTTCTATGTGTGAGCACTCCGCTGAATCTCAAAGCACCAGGCAGCACACTCAATAAATTGCTGCAGTCACACAGTACGAATTTTATGTAAGCTCTCTGCTTAAGAAGCACACAGCATCTGGTCTGGGAGAGTGAGATCCAGAGTTCCTAGTCATTCCTTTTTTATTGTATTTATTCCTTTATTTATAAAAATCAACAGGCATCATCCCAAATTTAAAATGAACAAGGTAAAAATGAATAAGAGAAAATTGAAGAAACAGTCCTTTGCAACGCTAGGGACCAGACAAGAGAATCTAAAAATTAAATAAAATTAATGACTAACAATGAGAGTAGACTTAAAATCCAGAAGGATACTCAAGACAACCTTCACTATAATGCAATCTCAATTAATTAATCACAACATCATTTAATTTTTATCACAAAAATGTGGGATTTTTTGCGATCTTTACTTTTTTCTCAACAACTCATAAAAACTGATAAATAATTGAATATAACGTAAGTACCATTCAAGCAGCTCCTACCTGAATCAACTCAGTTACATCTCATGCTGTCTAATTTTTGCTTTCATGTTTTATTTTATCACAAAAAAACCAAGCAATATTCACTTTATAATTTTATGAATGCATTCTTTATAATTCAAGAGAAGAGAAAGTCTCAAGGCGTTTTTTTGCTCAGTTTTCCTGTAACTCAGTGAAAAATGGGAGGACATTAGGTAAGGCGAAATGGATTTGGATTGATTCTAATCAGGTCCGCTTGTTGATTACGAGTGATTCAAACAAAATTTGTTTTGCAGACCACTTAAAAATAGTTTTTAATTTTCTCAGACAACACGCAAATTAGAACTCACGATTCCATTCTAGTTTAAGAATTTACAATCCTCGGTCATCACAACAGTCAGCCTTCACTTTGACCAACCTTTTTTTCCTAGTCGCAGCTATTTTTAAATCTTAGAAATCAACCAATTATTTTGCTACGTTTTGTTTCTTTCTCTGCCCTCTTAGCTTCTATTTGTATCTTGTTAATTGTTGATTTCGTTTGGTAGAAATTCCTCTTATTTTGACATTATGATTTATAGTCATTTAAGTATGGTTCTAACAAATGCTAGATTGAAAACTGATAAATCAGTTTTCCACTCAATCTTTAGGAAACGAAAAGCTTCATTTTGATGTAAAGCACCCAAAAAAATATCACACGTCGAACCTCTTGATGAGTATTTACTATTGTGTATGCAATGCGCATCACAGTGAAAGAAAAAGTCACCCAGGATCCGTGGAGCATATTCAGAAAGGGAGAGTATTTTTGTATTTGTGTTTTAAATTTTTGATAACATTCCGCTTTCCTATCTATTGTGGGTCAATGCTGAACACTAAATTATTAAAATTGTCAGGAATAGACCTGAAACATTATAGTTAATTTCAGATTCTATTTTTTTATTCAATTTTTACTCTAAAAAAAAATATATACGTATATATATTTTGCGGCAAAAGATCTCGCAATTTTAACGATTTATTGTAAAATGAAATATCTTACTGAATGAATGTGCTGAAACTTTCTTGACACACATCGTAAATTATTGATAATCGCAAAGGAAGATGAGCATTAACACGGTGCATTTATTTTATTGTTTTTGTGACAGTCTGTGTTTAGATATTTCACGCAGTTGTTTTGTATTTTTCAATTTACTGCACTGTCTTGTTCACTGAATTATATTGTTCTTGTTGTAGAAATAAAAAACTGTGTTCAATTTGAATCTCTTCCCTGTTGTCATTTTTGCACATATCACACAGAAACAGAAAAGTTGTCGGCAATGGGATTCAGAAACTTCTTTACTGCCAGACTGGCACTTTTGACCTATGTGTGACAGAGCAAAGCTCAAGGCTAAAGACTAAGAGTTGAGACTTCAGCTACCACTGCACCTTCTATGCCCCCGATAGAAATTCTATTCTCTCTCTCTCAATTGAGCCAGTTTAGCAGAGTCATTCCTCCAAGTCAATGTAACATCATTCACAGAATTTCAGATACTCAACACGTCTGCTCCTAGAGTTTACATGGTAAATAAACAGAGCCAAGGATTCAGATTCAAAAGAAAAAAAAAACCAAACTCAACTAAACAATAATTCTGACCTTTAATCAAAATTCATACAGTGTCTAGGAATACAGTCTGCCTTATTTCTGAGATGCCTCTCGCACACTTACACTTAAAGATAAATAGATAGAAGCAGAAGTTGGAATGAACTGACACCTCAGCTGACTAAGAAAGCAATCGAACTTGAAAAACTAAAGTTAACAATGATTCAAGCACTGATTAACAGGCCTTCTTTTGCATGACTACAGTTGCCATCTGCTTAAAAGATAGACGCCCTCTCTGTTGCAACCCGTTTGATGATACTTTGTACAGTTTACTGTTCTCTAATCACAAATTCATCTTGGGAACGACAAAAATTATCCCTCAGGATTACTATTTATTTAGTGACAAAGGGAAAAAAGAACATTGATCTCACAGCATTACTTGAGACTCTATTACTACCAATTTAGGGTAATCTTTTCAAAATAGAGAGCTCCTCCTTTCGCAGAAAGACTTACATGTAATTGAAGGTTCTCGTGTGAAATATCTGCTTTTAATTTGAAAGTAACGGAACTTAGAATGAACTAAAGTTCAAATATTCAGTACGTATTCTTCAAAATGTGTATTCACCAATTATCGTTGTTCAGATATTAAATTCCTACAATAGTAACAAGACCTCGCCAAGGATCATTTTGATGAGACAGACATGAAACTTTATTATGAGTTTGATCATCCACAGGTTAAAGAAAAGAAAAAGAGCCGACTATATTGGAACAGGAAGATACGCATGCATAGAACCATTGTGAACAGCATCCCGGATAAAATGCTCACAATGAAGGGTGCTAAAGTGGCTTTCATCATCGACATTGCAACACCTTTGGCAATACCTTATACAGAAAAGATAGATAAATACATGCCACTAGCCGATGAGGTGAAACATGCCTGTGGAAGTTTAGGGGCTTGGAGGACAAAGCACATAAGTGCAGTTTTTGAAAAAATTGAGATACCAATTAATGATTTCACGGAAAACTAGTCTTAATGCATATTCTGTGAAAAATTCGCTGCTTTATTGAGAAAAACGTAATTCTGAAACTTCAACCATGTATTTCTCAGAATAGCAAAAACTGCACTTATTGTCCTTGTCCTCCTAACTCCACAATTGTATCTATTGTTATTGTAGCCACAAGAAAAGTCCCTAAAAAGCTGTTTGATAGCCTGCAAAAGCTTAGTCTTCGGAAGGAGATGTATCAACATCTGCATAAGGCAGCAATGTTAGGAAGCTGCAGATTCGTCCGCTGAGTCATTGGCGATGGCTAGGGTCTCTTTAAACCAACGATTTTTTATTTTTGGCTTTTTAAATTTTAACGTTTTCTTTTGAATGTACATAGGTGAAATTTTTAACTTTTAACTTCTTAGAATTTTCGAATTCTTAAATTTTAGCATTTCACCTTTTCCAAGAGATTAAATTCTTCACAATGTTAGCTTTAAATTTGAAAGTTGTGGGGTGATTGTGGAATCACTCAAGTTGGACTCTCCTTTGCATGGAGGCGTTGAAAGAAGTCTGGAGAGCCGGCCTCGGGCTGTGGACCGTAGCAACTAAAAAATAATAATAAAATCTCCCTCCCATTCCTGTAAAATTTTATCCTTCAGTTACCATGCAGCATTACATGCGCAACTTCTGAAAATAAATTCAACATCCAGGAAACTTTGTTAACCTACTTACTGGCCTTTGGGTCCTTTTTATCCCCTGATTCTAGGGATTGATTTTCTTTCGGTTCCCTTATTTGTTTATCCTCTTTATCTTTTCCTCCGTGGCCGACATATTTAAAGTCTTTATCTCTAGCCTCAAGCAGTCTCCTCTGTTCCTCTTTCTTCTCCTTCTCTTCCATTCTTTCATAAAATGATTTTGGCGGAGGTTTCAATTGATACTGCTCTGGCTGACTCAATTCCTTGTGCAAAAATTCCTTCGCCTCCGGAGTGTCGAAAAAGCCTTTATTGACTTCCGCTGTTTTTTCCGCTATTCTTCTATCGATGGCTTTATACTTCTCTACATCAAAAAACTCGTCATAATCATGCTGTTCCTTCAAATTGTAAATAAGATCGTAGCGGTACTTAGTAGAAATGACATCCTCATCAGTGACATTAAAGTTGTGTGGAGGTATGAATGCCCCGGCTACTAGCCTATGCTCCATGCACAGAAAATTGTATGTTGAACATGCATGGTCTGTTTTTTCTATTACAATGTTGATGCCACTTTTTTTTATGACATCTCGGAAAATTTGTTTTTCAATCATCCGTCTCCAGTCTAAATTATCACCAATGCCAAGCACGAGAAGATCTGCAATAGAAGGTATTAATTATTAAAAAGAAAGTTGATGAAACTAATCGAAAATTGTTAGGATATATTTTCCCCATCAGGATAATTTGTGGATCAATGTGTTAAAGCCACCAGGCACCATGACAGAAATGTGCCTGAAAATTAAAGGTATTAGTCAAACATGACTCCTAAAAAAACTAGTGCAGCCATGACTTTTAAGAGATTCTTACTCAAAGCAAAATTATATGCTCTATTCAATCAAATTTCTAAAGTTTCTAAAGGATTTTAGATGGCTACGAAAACTCCTTGGTTTACATTTATTGACCAACTGGCTTAAACAATGTTGGGACTTAGAAAAAAACTGTCGTGAGCAAGCTACTACTTCACAAGCAATTTTCCATGAAAAAGGTGCAAGAGTTGTCTTAATAATGACAATCTTTTTGCTGTAACTTCAAAAGTATGGCTTAAAACTAAAATATGTAAAATTTGTTCTTTTGATTATACTTTAAACTTTTTAACATTCTTGGGTTTGAAGTTGGTTCACTATAACGTCAGTGAAATAGTTTTTTTTTTTGGACCCACCTATGCACCAACCAGGTCCAAAATTTGCGGAATAAAAATTTGGGTGCGGGTCATTTATGCACCCATGGCAGAGCCTGGTTTAGGAACTTTCATTTGAACAACATGTCGGCGTTTACCTAATTTGGGTTCCAGACGAGTAAATAAGGATAGAGATTCCGGAGTAATATCATAAGGACCTTCTACATCCCAGCTAAGAACTGACCTTGAGAACAGAGCTATTGGCCCAGCACAATAAACACCATTACTAAGGCGAAAGCCGACCTGGAAAAAAATCATTGAGCTATGAAATTCACAGACAGCAGCAAATATCTGATACCTGATTTTACTTACTTCCTGTTTCTGTAAATTTAAATTAAATAATAATAAGTATAGTAATTGAGTAGTGAAAAATTGATTTTTTGGTTGCTTATAAAATAGGCAATTATGATCATAATAACAGTGAGAGTTAAAAACAAGTTTAAATACATGTCCTTCTTTTTGTTGTTTTCATAATTGCAATTATGTGGTTTATAACTATAATTTTTGCTAGTAAATTCATCTTTTTTATGAATAATATATCTAAATATTTGATCTATTTTAGTATAGAAGGTAGATATATTTGAGGAGAGGGCTAGCTGCATATTTCAAACTGCTGCAAAATTCAGAAAGAAAAAGGATCTAGGTAGGTACATAAAAAATTAGAGTCTGGATAAAAATTTACTTTCTCTGAAAATGATTTTTCGAAAAGTGCGATAGCAGAATTCTTAAATCAAAATTTCTGTAAGTAAGAATGGTGTTCGATTCTTAGAAGCACTGTCTAAGACACTTGGACAGATGTGACTCCATCGGACATTGAATAATATTCTCTGATGTTTTAGTATTTAAACCAAAAAAAATTAATTGACTTCAACATTGACATCAGTTTAGTTTGACCATATTGGCATTATTTGTACCAAAATAACTGTAAAGCAATCAGGGCTTGATTTAAGGAGGGAGCAACAGGGGACACGGCTCATAGCGGTAGATTTCAAAAGTGATTTTCTCTTTCCTTTTTCCTTTTCAAGGTTTCAAAAGTGATCACTTTCAGAATCTGAAAGCAGCAAACTGTAATCAGTTCAACAGTCCAGGGTGGGAAAATTGTAGAAATTCCCCTCTGAGACAATCCATTGAGTAGTGATATCAATACCCTAATTTTAAACCTTAGGAATTCTTTTACCTCTGGACTGTCACTTTTGAACGATTTTGCATTTACAGGCAAGAAGACAATGCAGAATTATTGAAATTGAAAGATGAAAAGCAATCCTCCAAGAGAGTTTCTAGAGTTGTTTGATATTGGGAGAAAAAGGTTGTTATGCACCTTGTTGGTTGTTAAGGTTGTTAAGGTTGCACCACAGAAGATTAGTCTGCTCGTTATTTGTGCAGATCAATTTCCTACTTAACCAAAACATTATAAAAGTACTTTCCCCAACGGGCTTAAAACTTACTTGACTGTACGAGCCAATTATTAGACCAATATCAGGGTGTCGCTGAGCATCAAGAATATCAACAGAAGTTTTTCCATCTCCATCGTATGCACCTGCGGCAAGTTTTGGACTTGATCTGATGCATCGGTTCAGTTGCAATCTAGAAAATGAAGATGAAGACACATGACGTTATATCCATGGTGCTTGATTCTGCAAAAACAGAGATACTCGATAATTTGAGAAAAATTGATTTTGAGTAAATTTTCCCTTTTAAAGTTACACTGTAGGGAGCAAAACTAGTTGCAACCAATCAAGAAGGCAACTGCTGACACAACATAATACGTAACGATTGAGAATAAGTAATTATATTTTAAAACATTAGGAGTATGGATTTTTCTTTTGAGTAGG